TTCGCCCATTAAAAGTTTTCCAGTTTGCAGGTGGATTGATAAAGTTACTACCAAAATGCATGGAATTAAAGAAAATCCAAAATGATGAATCACTTGATCTCTCTTCCTATTTAGGATTTTCCAGGGGGTGGCTCTGGGGGTTGAGGGGTTGGAAGGTGGTAGGTGAAGTTTGCTTAAAAGCTCATCCCGCTTCAAATTATAGTTGACATGTTTCAGGGATTTTTTTGGAAAATTTTTCAACTCCGAGATAATAGGGGTGGTGAGTTTTAAAACGAACACCCTGTACTTATGCAAAATATTTATTGATTTTTAAGTTTTACTACACTGAAGCCCTGGTTTCCTCGAAAGCGACACCGTCAAATAGCGGCCGTAATATTACGGCGAATGACGTCACAAAAAATTGTTCAATGCTTTCCATTGCAAGTGATTTTTAAGGTAGCGGTGAGAGTCATCGTAAACGTAATGACGAATATTTCCACCTTTATATGACGGTCGCTATTTGACGGTGCCGCTTTCGAGCCTTCGAGGGAACCAGGGTTTCACCAGAAACACAAACACACTATACAGGTTTGAATACTTGTTTTTGTATTTAAACAAAGCAGAAAATGAACATTATTTTAATTTTACATCTCATGCGCCTACAAACAACACACAGAACATATCACTTCTAGACAAGTATCTGCAATGTTATGTACCGGTTATGAATTACAGCGCCATCGTTGACTGAAAACCCAACTAATCGAGCATTCTTGACAAAAAGGCGAATTGATTTTATTCATATATTTTTAATATTTTTAAATAATTTTTAATGTTCAACTGCATTTGGCTTGCTGACTCCTTTTAGCTCTTTTCGCCTCATTTTTTTGAAAACGATGACTGGCAGGAAGTTTCCGATGTCGAACATAGTGCAAAAAGAGTTAGTAAGTTAGCAAGAGACACGCAGCTATAGGTAGATCGCAAAGTAAATACGAATAATAAATACAAATACGAACGAAACGAAACAAACGAGTAAATACAAAAAAATACGAACAAAAATTAGGGTTTTTTTTTAACCAAAACTTTTTGAATTTTCACTTTAACGCGCGTGGGGACCATGGTTTACAACAACACAATTTAAAAATTCAAATTTTGACTTTTAAAATGACAAAATAAATGACATAACCAACCAACACAAATCACTGTCCACACCAATGAACTATAGTCGAAAACTGGAATGCCATATCTGCCAAAAAAATGTAGCCATGAAAGACAGATGCCACAAAGGGGAATGTTGTTTTTTTCTGTTGCTCGCTGACATATGACGTTTTGGAAAGTTTTGTCATATTTACCTTCACAGGTTTCATCAATTGGAATACGTGTTGGAAGCAATTTCCTCCATTTAACATAACGAGTGCGACAAAAACAGGTATCCCCTCCGCAGCAGCGGCACTAGGCTTCACGTTCGTCAATATGTGTTCGTATTCCAGTTTTTGGTTATAGTTCATTGGTCCACACCACAGATACCTGTAAATTTCTCTTATCTCCCGACAGTGTCGCCATCGTTGACTAAAAACCTAACCAAAAACCTTCGTCGCGATTCTCCCATTTGAGATATTTTTCTATAGGTGATATGTTCTGTGCAACACACCCAGCTAAAATTTTAGAGTGTTAAGGTACGGTTTGTTAGGATAGTACGCGACGCACAACTGACAACGTAAACGTCGTCATTGGTTCAGGTATGACGTACACCCGTTCCCTGACGTCAGCGTCAGCGTCAGAAAACGAGTGTACGTCATACCTGAACCAATGACGACGTTTAAGTTGTGCCTCGCGTACTATCCCAAACCGTACCTTAAAGCATGGTGAGCGCAATTGTATTGAACGATCCTGGCCGCTTTTAATGTGCCCCAAGCCGCTCAGAGGGCGCGCATGTTCATCGCTGGTAATCGATTTTAGTGAACGCCTTTGGATGTTGACGCTATCAGCTGTCATACTGGTCGGTCGGTTGTCAAACAATTTTTAGTTTGTCAAACTTTTTATGAATCATTTTCATTAGTTGTAGTGTTTTTACTTCTACCCAGTTTTAGTTCAGGTAAGTTTTATCTTTATCATGGCGTCAATCCCATTGGTGATGAAATTGATGTGAAGACAAACAGAAAAAGTTCAATTATTTATTATTTATATAAATAAAAATATTATAAGTACAACGATTGACAGATACGAGTTTTATTTTTCTATCTTATCCAAATAGTTATTTTCCTAACAAGTGCGCAAAGTGATACTTTCCCCGCACGAAAAAGCAGTTAGACGAACGACGCGAAGCGGAGTTCGGATAAGCTTTGAGTGCGGAAAAGACACTTTGCGCAAGTGTTAGGAACAATATTTTTTCTACGAGTATCTTAAAGAAGTAGACTTTGAATTGTTAAAATAGAAAAATCTATCAAATCAATATCTTCAAAAATCGTTTAAAATCTGTTGGAATTCCTCAGAATGTCTTTTAAATTAAATCCCCAAAAATGTTTAAACATTTTCTGGAATTTCTAGAATACCAGCTAGAATATTTTCATGAGAGTCTCTCAAATATCAAAAATTCTACAAACTCCCAGCAGTACAGGCTGGTCCAATTTGGACACCTTTGATAGGAAACATCATGTTAACTAAGCGCGCTAATTTCAACTAAAACCCTTCATTTTGAATATTAGTTTATTCAGAAAACATCAAAACATTGAAAAATCAAGTATAACTATGGTAATTATGCAAAACAAAAATGAGTGCGCAAAGAGTTTCCGTGCGCAAAGATCAACTTTGCGCACGCAAATGAGTGTGCAAAGTGATTACTTTGCGCACGCAAGTAGAAAAAAATGTTTTTGGCGTTGACTAGATCAGTCTTGGTTATTACATATCATATTTATTTCTAATAATGAGGAATAATAGTATATTACATACCGAGTAGGGAAGTGTTTCATTACTGTCGAGAGATTTATAGGTATAGTCTCGAGACAGAAATGAAAACTTTCCTCCGAGGTTTGTATACTATTTTATTTGCAAGCACACAATAGGGTAGTGGACAAGGTATAATTTCAATGAAATCGATGATCTAGTTCATCTATGGAGTAAATGAAAAATATTCCTATTGAAAGAAATTTCAGAAAAAAATGCTAACTTGGTTTAAAACGATTGAAAAAAAAGAGTTTTGGGACGCAATATTTAAACGAAAATATTTCGCGCCTTGATTCTACGTCATAGCTGTTGTATTTGAGTATGAAATGAATTAAACCTTCGTTCTATATTCGACACACACTTACTCATTAGTGCAAAAAAGAGAGATATATCAGCGTCTGTTGGGGCCCACCCTCAACTTAACCCCACTTTTTGAGAGATTTTCATTTGTCAAACAATGCGCACTGAGCTTATCTGCATCTTTTTCTAGAAGCATGTAAAATATAAGGACGCACTGACCGCGCTCTCGCCCACTCTTATTAATGTCGGAATGCATTAGACATAACAGCTGTGACGTAATTTCCGGGCGGTAAATTATAGCGTTTAAAATAAGTATAAATTTGTTTATTTTTTTTAGGTATATTTTTTTTTTCTAAAATCAAAGAATCATCAACTACTATTTATTTTGTTATGAAGATTAATAATAAAAATATTTCAAAAAATTGTCCACCTACCCTATTAATTATGATTAGTCAATCAGTTTTTTTGATATTAAAAAAATAAAACAAACATGCCAAAATGTGTCATTCACTTCTTTGACGTTTTTACCTGACATGTTCTCATTGTTGCCCGCAAAGGTAAATAAATTAGAGTGAGGGAAATCGGTGAGGTAAGTCGAATAGGGAAATCGGTGAGGGAAATCGAAGAGGGAAGTGACACAGGTAAAGTGTCACTTCCAAATTTTTAAAAAGTCAGTAATGACAAGATTACATATATGATTGCAAATAAATATAATAACTAATGTTAAATCTGATCAAGGCCTAAAAAGATCATCCATAAATAAAGTTTCAAATTCAAATATCCCGCCAAAATCATTTTACTTTGACCCAAGCCTATAGAGGCGCCACATATATAACCTTTTTTTTTAACATGGGAGTTACCATTCTATATCCCCACTTAAACCTTATTCTATGCCTTAAAGGTACGGTTTGTTAGGATAGTACGCGACGCACAACTGACAACGTAAACGTCGTCATTGGTTCAGGTATGACGTCTGACGTCAGAAAACGGGTGTACGTCATACCTATGGTCATACCTGAACCAATGACGACGTTTACGTTGTCAGTTGTGCGACGCGTACTATGACGCGTACTCTCCTAACAAACCGTACCTTAAAGCTGCTCGACATCGTCATTTTCATTCATATTTCCTAGGTCGATCATATTAAGTACCTATTGAAAACGATTTTGAATTGACTATAATATTGAATATTTAATACTTATGTGACAATAAAAAAACTAAGTATAATATTTAACTCACAAAAAAAAGCATGAAAAGTTAGAGCTAATTTTCTGGAACATGCAACTATTCTATTCTCATTCTTGTCTGGAATAGAACTGAAAATGCAACCAAATATATGTGCCAGATAGTGTTAGAAATGTATTGGTGGTGAGCGATATTCTTATCTACTGAAAGGCAATATCCTATTCCATTATACAAATTAATATAAACGTTTCTTACATAAAAAAATATATATATAAGGATATAAAGAGTGTAGGTATTCGTGACTGGCAACTTATAAATTGAGATATTTTCTGGAGTATCAGTCTGGGTCTTGTAAATGATATTTTTTCAATTTAAAACACAAAGCAGTAAGTAAGCCTTCCTTTTAATATTTATTTGTATAAATATTATTCTTTTTATATACATAGCCCTGAAGAAGAAAATAAAAAAAAATTTCGAAAGCTCGGCGTAGCTAAAAAGGTTTAAGACTTTTATTTAGACCCAGACTGATACCCCAGAAAATATCTTCCATTTATAAGGATATAGGTACAGGTAGATACCTAATGTAGTCTATACTTTTATAGCGTAGAGCACGTTCCCATTCTTTGCATCTGGATCGCTGGAAAAAATAATAATTTTCAGAAAATTTGAACTTAAGTTGCTTCTTATTTATATAGCTATTTTTATCCAATAATTGGAAATTTTTTCATATTCAAAAACGCAGGGTGTTCTAACAATAAAAACCGGTTACGTTCACCAAATAGTTATTTATAATATAGGCAAGTGCTAAAATCAAGATAGCTACAGGGAAGGGGAAAGCAACTTCAGCTTACTTATAGCTTCGGAACTCGGAAGAGTATATTCAAGATCTACTATTTAGATGGAACCAATACCACCATCATCATTGGAGATTTCAACAATAAATATCTAGCCTGCACCTCCAATATTAGGAGTGCCAAAGGAGATAAGCTAAATGAAATACAGAAGCAAGAATTAATGTCATCGCCATCGGAGCAGCTCGACTATCACGAGACTATCTATGCTATAAATTTCGCCCAACAGTATATAGTTTTTTTCTTGGAATATCCAGTATCCAATACCATCGAAACAAGAAAGGAAACGAGAAAGAGTCCCAAAACAAAAGCCAAGCTGTAGAACAACTTTAGAAATAAACTCATATAGGTACAAGAAAATCATCCCACTGATTCACAAGCATGCGATCGAGAAACTACAGGCTAACATCCTGGCAGCTTACCAAAAATGGGCTGTCATTGAATCAATGTCTAGGCTGGACCTCCAACATTAGAAATGCCAAAGAAAATAAGTTGCATGAAACACAAAAGCAAGAAAGGCCATCGCCATCGGAGCAGCTCGACTATTACGTGACTATCCATGCCATTAATTTCGCCCAATAGTATACAGGATATAACTTTTTTTTTAATGTTCATTATCCAGTATTCAGTACCATCGGAACAAGAAAACGAGGAGAAAAGTCCCAAAAGCCAAGCTGTGGAACAACTTTAGAAATAGAATCATATATATACAAGAAAATCAATCCACTGATTCAGAAGGTTAGGAGCATGCGATCGAGAAACTACAGGCTAGCATCGGGTCTTATTTTCGAATATTCTCGCATACGAAATTTGATACGATTTCGAATGCTCCCCATTTAATTTAATTACATTGCTGTCAGTCAAATTTCGTGTACGAAATGTACTCGAATGGTTTCGAAAATCGCACCCGCTGGCAGTTTACCAAGAGTGGGTTGTCATTGAATCAACAAGTAGATGTCGGACTCCCCAAGAAAGTCAACATAAGACTGCGTAGAGAATACGGAACTGGAAGACTGGCAAGGATTAGGACTGAGCTATATCGGCAAAGCGAAAGGCTTAATGCCGCACTCGACGGAGTTGGGCACAGAAGATGGAATTGGAAACCATAATAAATCACCGTAGAAAAGCACACTGCATGGAACATTCAGAAGTAACTCAGAAACGCCAGCCAAAAACGCAAAGGAATTCCATACACCAATAATGATGAAAATACTGAAGCCCTGGCAGTTACATTAGCGAGGGAATGCCAGCTCAATCAACCTCCAGACGAAGACAACATTCATCGTTTTCTCTATCCCTATGGCACTTGCTGTCTTCTCTCTTTCCGAAATCAATATAGAGAAGGGACGTCAATAGAGATAGAAAAAAGATTTCTATTCGTTATATAGTCCCCACACTAAACCAAACAAAAAAGTCACTGGCTCAATCACAGTCTGTGATAAAATGAATGAACATCAGATGCATCAACTTCATGTTGAAATTAGACCTATTCAGGACATCATGCTAAGGAAATGATCACAAGTTCCCACAGCCTTTTTTTCACCTCTGGGCAAGGTACAAGTGAGAACTTTCAACTTCAGATTCCTACAGTAGGTAAATTGAAAACCTGGAGTTCATTCCGGAAGAGCAATTCGGACTTAGACTAGACCATTAGTTATTCAGTGAGACTCATATTACAGATGTCTCTTCTCAGAGAATTCCAAGCTTCAATCAAGAAGCAGACGAGCACCATTTTCTACTTGCAGAAGACAACTCATATTACTTTGCGAAAATATAGGCAACTGAGACGCAATGTATTAGCTGAAACATTTTTCAGATTATATTCATCCACATTGGGCAATATTGATGTCCGAATGGTTAAATTTCATTAGAATTTAACCGGAATGATAAGTCGTCTTGTTTGCATAAGGCTGCATGCAGTATGGAGTTTGAGCAATCTAAAATTATCAATTTGGGCAAAAATTTCAAAATGGAAAAATTTGTGATTTCAAGAATGATGATCATAGCGGAAATGTAGTTGCAGGTACCTAAGAAATACCTATACAAAACTTTTAAATTTTGACTCATTTAGGCCCGGTTTATTCACCTAATAAACTGTAAAGTAATGTAATCTGACGGATAAAAAACGCAATCTAATCCTATTGGTCGGCGGCCGGATGCTAGTTTTATAATTTTGCCTAGTAGACTAGACTCATAGCTTCGGGATGAAAATGAGTCCAAATCGTGATGACAAAAACTTTCCATTGTTCAAATAATCAAGTCTATTTTCAAAGAAAACAACTTCAAACTCACATTAAAGGTCATCAGTATACGGAGTTTCGGCAGTCCAAACAATTTACGCAAAACTATTTGGTTTCCTATTTAAAAGTGACAATGTTAAGTAGTAATAACTATTGCGTATATCTTAAGTTTTGCAAATTTATGGCTGAAGCCTGAGTTATTGCTCAGTAAGGGAAAAGTAAGATAAATCTGAAATATGTCCTTACCTTGTCCACACCTTCGTGCACATTGTAACCTAAATTGATTATTGTATGTTACACCATCGCTACCGCACACTGGATTGTAATTTTGTATTGTTTGACATGCATCGAAACATGCTCGGAAAGCTGCTGAAGACGTTGTTGTAGTTACTGGAGTAGATGATTGTTGCAGATTTGTATCTGAAAAGTTTGAAGAGTATGTTTAGCACTTTTTCATATTTCATCATTTTCAAAATATTCTGTATTATTATATGAGTGGAAACTGGAAAGATTACTTTAGTACCTAGCAATTTTGATGATAAAAAATTATAAAATAAACGGCTAAATGGTTGATCTGCTCTTAGAGAATCTGAAATAAAATATTCTCAACCTAAGGCAAAAGGCAGGCCGGTACCTAAACCTGGCAAAACGGTTAGGTACTAGATTTCCCTTCAAATTCAAAATAACTCGTACCTTATATGTCTAATATATTTTACTAACCTTGATTATTAGTATTTACTTGATTGAAGTCATTATCTAGTCCTTGGGATCCAGAAAACGCGTTAAAGTCCACTTGACATGAAGATTTATGAATGCACAAAATTCCTAGCACTAAAAAAGAAGTAAAAATTTAAAATTGATGAAATTTAAATGTTTTATCGGTTACAATTAATTTATTAGCCAGGCAAAGGTCAGTTATTGATAAACCACATTAGTCAATTTGATCTTGACACACATATCAAAGGATAGGTATATACAGTTTTTATTTTCCAAATAAATCTAAGAAACTAAATGCAATTTTGAAAAAATTGACCACAGGTTTTTACAGAATAAAGTATCTACTCACCAGCGATTGTCAAAATTGAGTAAATTTTATCCATTCTACTAGAATGTATAGCAACGTTCTTTGCAGACTACCTGTACTGTAACTGGTTGAGAATATTTACCCGTTCTTTGGTAGGTATTCACACGATGTTTCTTCTTGTTGAATGTCGCATTAAAATCTACTGGGAAAGACCAGAGTACTTACCTACGTCAAGCCTCAAGCAGTGATTATAAGAAATCAATGTTGGTCACATTTTATCTTGTTTATTGCATACTTTAATCGGTTCTCTTTCTGTGGAAAATATTTACTGTCTGCTTATAATAATTAGGTATTTACACATAAATAATTTAATTTTAATAGGGACCTCGTTTAACATTTGGACCAATCATGATAAATAATTTTAACCAATATCAGTTAAGTACAATTTTAGTATTGTAATTAACATACCTACTTAGGTATTATTATCCTATAATTTACTATGTGCATCCTGGATGCTTTCACGGATCCGTCCGTGATTTATTGGTTGGGTACTATAATCCTGGATAAAAGATATAATAAAGTATCTGTTGCTGCTTTTATAGAGTAGTAAAGTGAAAAATACCAAGGGCACTAGGGCACTTAACATTACCCTGAACTCTATTAATTGGTTAGTACTAAAAGCTATACCTACCTTTTATACGCCTGATCTAGTCGAAGTACAGGTGGCACCGCACACCCTAGTAGTTATAATGTCGGTGTTTCGCAAAAGTATAAATAATGAGAGGTAACTCAATGGCCAAATTAAAAATCGGATACTGATGGTGGCTTGTACCTACTATCAGAACGTTCGCGGTAAAAGAACCTGAACCTGACTGCCAATAGGCGAATATCCCCAATCCAGAACTGCGAACTCTCGTTAGACTATCTTTGGAAGGATCGCTCCGATCTACCAAGCGATCAGAAATCTTTTGGATGCGTCCTTGTTGCTGTTAATAATAGCATTCGGGGCAAACAAATTACTAATCTGATGAGAATATTGACCTGTTCCTATACTCGGTCCAACAAAATACGTGTCTGCTCATTTTCGGCGGTGTTCACTTGGCTTCAAATTCTTCCCTTCTCAGCTACGTAACTTTCTTTCAGAGCATTGTATCGGTCAACTAGAACTGAGTAGGTAATATCCTGGTGCCTGATTTTGTATAGTTGGCGATTTCAATATATCAAGAGCGATGTAGATTGATGAGGACATCTCGTCGGTGGTCATTTTCCGAAAAATGTTCCACACCAAAGTACTCTGTCTAACCAAAGTTGAACGTTGAAGGCCACTTACTCGAATATATCACAGACGTTGCTTTTTGCTGCTGTCTTTATTGCACGCGCACTGTGTTTATCAAACCAAAATAGGTCAGGACGTGTGAATGTTCAACTTTGGTTAAGGTACGGTTTGTTAGGATAGTACGCGACGCACAACTGACAACGTACACGTCGTCATTGGTTCAGGTGTGACGTACACCCGTTTTTTGACGTCAACGTCAACGTCAGAAAACGGGTGTATGTTTGGTGTACGTCATACCTGAACCAATGACGACGTTTACGTTTCTGACGCTGACGCTGACGTCAGGGAACGGGTGTACGTCATACCTGAACCAATGACGACGTTTACGTTGTCAGTTGTGCGTCGCGTACTATCCTAAGTGCGCGTTCACATTGACACACCGCTCGAGCGGTGAGCGTTGCGCGATGCCGCTGTAGTGATGCCCAAAACTAATTTTAACATTATATTTCAAATGAACATGTTATCACCGCGGGACGCGCCGCTCCAGTGTGAACATGTTGATTTGAAATATAATGTTAAAATTATTTTTGGGCATCACTACAGCGGCATCGCGCAACGCTCACTGCTCGAGCGGTGTCAATGTGAACGCGCACTAACAAACCGTACCTTTAGACAGTGTAGAATAACATACCCGGGTTCGTTCAGTAAGATTGAACGATGAGAATTTTTATTAAATACCTTTAAATAACAAATCTTCTAAAAATGAAGATGAAAAGCAAATAGGACCTACGTTGTGGAAACTTACTCAATTTTACTTACTGTACATGCGCCCGACATAGCAAATATTTGGGAAAGGGAAGCTGTGATATGTGAAAGAAACGAAAAATTTGTGAAACGTCCACTTTATTATTAAAGTAGATCGTACCGTTCTCATCCTGGAACTAACGAGGGGAAAGAGCACGGCAGAGAAACCCTCGATCTACCTACATTCCTCAAAAATCAAAACATACTGTGTCATTTTGATAATTAATTGTGACTCAATAATTCAATAATTTAAGTCAATAAAAGTTCAAATTAGGTACCATCCTTTGTCTTTGTACTAAAATTTCAATTACACACACTACATTCAATCAACACTACCTATATTCAATACTGAAGAGTTTTTGGTTAGTTAGCCAGTTTCCCATCAGGTACTGAGGTCCCTTACGGGAAGCTACTCAGCTATAGTTGTTTTTGAGCCAATATCTCTAGATTGATTATTTCAATTTGTTAGGATATTCTCTCGTCAGGGTAGGAAAATGTTAGTAAATTCAACAAGGCTCTAATGCACGCTCTAAATCCAAAAATCAAAATCTCAACACAAAAAGACAACACATAATTTCTTAGGTTTTAATTTACTCTTTATCTGTGTTGCTTACAGCATGAAACGATTTTTATTAAATACCTGAACAATGCACATGTTATAAACAAACAAAAAAACATAAAAATGAAAGAAAAAGATACTTGTATAAATAATTGAACTTTCAAAAATAAAATAACAATTATTCAACTGACCTGTAATGGCTCCTTGACACACACACTAATAACAAATTGGATTGAACAATCAATTTAATGAAAAATAAAATGAAAATTGAATAATGAATAATTACAGACACGCGTCTAAAGAGACCCGTTCAGCTTCTTCCCTAGTCTAGTTGCGTATTCTCTATATCCCCTTCGTACTGCTACTTTTTCTGTTGCGGCGCGCTCTCGTTCTCATAAATTTCACTGAGCAATACATGGTTGCGACATTTACTTTTATTCAGTAAACGTTTTTTAAAAAGTTGAGATTTAAAGAAATAATATTTTAAATAGGTGGTTTTCCTCAACAGAGTTTACCTACCTATATCGATTAACGAATTATGACATGTGCTCACCAAAACAAAACTTGTTTCAATCTAATCTAACTCTATACCTATACTTGATGTTGATAATGTTATTGTAGATTTGGTCTAGAGTCATAGTCATGCCTCATGATGTTCTTAATATAAGGACGGCCGACCCACTTATCAATCACCCGAGGATAACCTTCAATATTAGCATACACGCAGTTTTGATCTTTTGGATCAAGCCTGCAGCACACAAGCTTTCACTATGGATTCAAAATCTACATACTTCCGGTTATTGAATTATTTTCTCGAATCTGTAGTGTATCCTGAAAGATGTATTTCTCCCGCTATGGCAATGTCAACCACATTCCTAATTTATTCTATTTACCCAATAACGCCCAATTTTCATTTTTTTACTTTCATGAATTTTGCTAAGTTTGCCTTTAAATTATGATGAAAGGGTAAGTAAAATCAATACAGGCCAAAATGTAAACATACAGACATTACATTTATATCCGATAGAAAGATTTTTCTTGGAATTTTGGGAAACATAAGCATCAAGGACAGATCTGATTTTGAACGCACGATCATTTTTATTTGCATTCGCATTTGGGTTATTTTGAAAATGTAAAAATTACTTTATTTCTAAATATCAGTTGTGACTCATGACATCCTTTACTATTTGTATGTCCAGATCTTCACCGTCAGACCGATAATCTCGTTCGCTTGATAGCCCTTGATAACCAAGAAAAGATCAAAAATCTAATAGATATCCTTATATCCTCAACTACCACCGGAAATGCAGGTTTACTTATTCTTTCCTTGAGTTGCATAGCGAATTGTTTTGTCTACAATATTCTGATAAACTTCATCTGTGAAGAACTGCTCCAAATGTTCTTACATACCTACTTATATCAGATAAATTGGACGTCATATTAGAAGATATTTCTTGCGGGGCATCAGATAAATTGGCCCATGTATAAAATTGCGGATTATCCATGTTCGGTTTTGGTAGATCCTTCTAAGTTATTTCGCTTTCGACCTGCTTCTTCAACTTTCTTATCGTCTAAAGAATCCGACGATTCCATTTGATGCGACGCTGACGGTTCTTGTCTGGCAAACCTTGATAATGGAATATTAATATCAGAATCGTTATCGGAGTCATCAGAAGACAAATATATTTCCATTTGTCCTACAGCATCTGATAAAACAGGTATTTTCAGATCTTCATCATCAGATAAATAAATACCTCTTCATCTGTAAGTTCATCCACTGGTGGAGGTAAAAGCTTCAATTTCTTCGGAATATAAATAGTTATAAAAGCCTCCTCAAGGGTTCAAAAACTAGTCGAATTCTGTTCATATTAACTGGTTCTGCAATTAAAATAGATGTCGATTATATATCATTGCAAGCCTGTAGTGTCCTTGCTTGAGGATACGAGAATTTTCTCAACTACCTACGTATTTGTGCAAAATTGTGAGCAAAGTACAACCTTGTAATGTGTAACAATATAAGAAATGAGTTTTGAGTTTGTAATAATAAAAAAAGTATCCAGATACACCAAACGCAACAGCAGACGCGATGTTTCGTCTTAAAGGGGATGTGACCCAAAAATTAAAGTTTTAGTGCAAAAAAATCTAAGAAAAAATACTAAACCCGCATCTTGCTACGATGGTCCGTTTTCGAGTTATGGAGGTTTAAAGTTACAACTATATCTTTTCAACTTCAAATTGGGACTAAACAACTTTAAGTTGGGAACTAACAAAATCAAATTGAGAATTAACAATATCAAATTGGGAATAATCATATTTAATTTGGTACTAATCAACTTCAAATTGCGACTAATCAATTTTGATTTGGGAAGAAACAAATTCAAATTGAGAATAGACTTATTCAATTTAGCAAATTATATTTGAGACTTTGACTTTGAGTTTATTTTTCCTTCCGACTACATTCAAGTTCCTTAGAGAATCATGAACCATTTCTTCGAATTTGAGAAAAATATTTGTGCCAGACATGTTGCTCATATTCAATGCTGATGCGCTAAACATGGCTGATTATATATGGTGATTTGCAAATTACGAATGAAAACATTTCATCAAAATCAGATTTTGTTCAAATTTTTCTTCTATTTCAGCGTAATTTCAGGATTTTCCTCTATGTATCCAGTCATTTATACCTTATGTTCTTCTATATAAAATGTTTGCTTTTCTTTGTCCCCCACGTTTCCTTCGAACAACTTCTTGGGTGAACTTTGTTGACCAGTCAGAAACAACTACTCCGAGGGCAAACACCCCTACCGGCGTAACAAGGACGAAACGCGTCAAGGATTGGCACGGGAAGCCTGAGTCCACTGCTCAGTGGGCCGATTCCCAAACAGGGACCGCTGTGTCCCTGTATTCACGTTGGTCATTACCTGAAAAACTGATCTAATTTTTATTAAAAAAAACTATGCCCACATTTGCTTAAAATTGGCGAAATTTGGATGTGGTCACCAAACATATTTTTCTTCGCCTTCCCGGCGTGTAGGGGGCGCCGCATCTCAGTCTCCCCCCCTAGGGATAGTCATATCGCTACAGCCCTGCTTGCATAACTTTAAAATTTATTCAACAACAGTGTTGTTTAAAGGGCACAATTGTGCCAAAAGTAGCCCTTTTCGCCCGCAAAATGCACAGTGGCACCACTTTGAAAAATTTGGCACAATTCACATTTATTATTAGGCAGTCCCAGTCCTGACCTGTGAGAATTGTAATGGATCTGTCAGGTCATTGGGGCTGTGTTCGTTATTGTCATCTTTTTCGTCTAATGGCTCCGAAATTTTGATAGGCACGTGACTGCATCAGACAGTTTCAATTCACAAATCACGTGCTTGTCAAAATTTCGGAGCAAATCGACGAAAAAGATGACAAAACCGCAAGACAAAAACGAACACAAACCGAATTTTCGCGACGAACTACTTCCATGATTTCATCAACACAAACGCTTTTGCGAGAAACTCATGACGTCATATTGAAGTAGTTCGACGGAAGTATGGACGCAGCTTCTAGCCAGCGTTCAAACTCATGACGTCACAGATGAACTATGGTTCGTCCTTGATGAACTACAGTCTATTTTTTCCCAAGATAGATTTTGACATTGAAAACTTTGAAACAAAAACAATAACGCTTATTGGCTCTGTTTGGTCGCAAAATGAGGTGTCCCTGCAGGTTGACATCAGCTTTACAATGCATGTCGTGCAAATGGCATTTTGCGACTAATAAGCAGCATTAGCGGCATCGTTTATGTTTCAAAGTTGACAATGTCAAAATCTTTGGGAAAAAATAAGCTGTACATTCGTCGCGAAAATTCGGTTACAGCTTGGATCGGATATGTCGATGTGAGTGTGACTAGTGACAATGACGTGACTGTCAATTGTCATTATAGTGAATTTAATATATGAAATATATTATATCTTTCCCCTTTTAATCATGTAATAAAAAGAAATGAGTATAAAGTCAAAAAATCATTTCTTATCACTTTTTCTCAAGTGGCACTATTTGGCACTATTTGAGTGTCGCTGCAGGCACACACGAAAATTCCCCAGGAACAACCCTGTTCAACAATTCCAATTTGAAGTTGATTAGTACCAAATTTAAATTGTTTATTTCCAATTTGACTTCGTTTATTCCCATTTTGAACTTGTTAGTTACCAATTAAAACTTGATTAATCCCATTTTGAAATTGCTACGTTCCAAATTGAAATTGATTGATCCCAATTTGAAGTTGAAAAGGTATATAGATGTTTGTGACGTCACACCGGATCATCAGGCACAGTATTAACACGTGTAAAATTTTCCAGAACAAAAGACAATCTCACTAAAGGAAATTGCAACCACTCAAAGTATAGGGTACCGTTCACTGACGACTGGACGAACAGAAGACTGGGATTTCGGCGGTTGTAACAAGGTTCTAACATCACAAGTTCCTGCATAATTTATCTTCACAAAGAATTTTCTAGGAGACTATTTTGAATATAGGACTGCGGTTTCCACGAGAGATCCTAGATTTTTTTCCTTTTTTTTTTTTGGCCGAACTACAGGTAAATTAATTTGGTGTCAATTTTGCCGCGTAGTAAAGTGCCTCTAGATATGGATGGTGGGGACACCAAATCCCATACGATGACGACTATGTTGAAACCCCAGTCTCACATTTCGCGATACAAAATAACTTCCCTGAGTTGGGGTGAGGTGAGTTGGACCGTATTGCCGAACTTCAATACGATGAAGCAGTGCCCTGCAAGACCGGCGATGTTCCAGATTGGGGAAGTCCCTAACTTCCATCTTAATCTAGAGATGAACCGACTGAAATTCCACCGCAAACCTAAGCGCAAAAATTTACAGTCCACTGTAGGGAATACATTGTGTAACTCCCTATAACACGCAATATCAAAGATTAATCGCCAACGGAACACTAAAAAACACTGATTAGCAGCAATACTACGGCTGCCTCATATCAAAATCAGATCACCACAACTAAACAGGGTTGGCAGGATATATATCAGCGATAAATATCCTGATATATATCTTGATAAATATCATGATATTTATGCTATAAATATCATGATATATATCAATATTAATTGTTTGGCCTTCTTTTTTTATTTTATAGTTTTATTATTTCATGTTGAGAAGTTTAACGGCCCTAGTAGTATATTTATCAGGAGGAAATCATAGGGATCTCGGCCAAAACAGTCTATATTACGTCATTTATCAATTTTTATTTTATTTATTTTTATTTGTGTATAAGAAATATCAGATTTTTTAGGGCGGGTATTATGAAACTATTTTGACAGATAACTAAATGTAGAATGATGCGGAATGCGTCGAAACGTTGGCTGTTGATTTAGATATTTCATTAAATAAAGTCCAAATAAGCCGAAAACCGACTTTTCAGCAAAATGTAATATCATGATATTTGCCAACCCTGCAACTAAACCTTCGCTGGGATGAAGATTGATTCATGCACTTGCAATATGTGCAAAACAACGTTTGTTTGTGGCTGAATTTCAGTACTCCTTATGCACATTGCTGCTCCTCCATATCCGTGCTCTCCCATTATGATGTAGTTTTTTTTTTCTGGGAAAATTTAGTTTTGGCAAAATCTCAATTGATGATGCATCCTGGCCTCTTCTTGTAGCTTGAAGTGTAGATGTGGACATTTCAGGAGGGTCCTCAATGGCTGCAGTTGGTGTGGTCAACACAGCCCCATTGTTCCTGAGACGGAAAATCTTTGCACCTTGCCTAGTTGGAAAATCGCACAGAGATCTATGTTAATCAGCACAGCAAGTTCAGTGATCTTGAGTTCCAGAACAGTTACCAGTCTCCCTTGCCTTCATCAACACATAAAACCCAATAAACATTTTTGTTTTTATAATATTTAGCGTAAATGTTATATCACCTTCTTTATATATGTAACTTAAGGTTTTATATCCATTTACCGAAATATTTCTGTTACTCCTATAAACCCTTAAAAGAACTTAAATTGAGCGTTTATAAAGGCTTCGAAAACCTGTGTTTAGTAACGGCATATAACTTTTTTGCATATGCCAGTATTAAACAATTATCGTATATTTTGCATCAAAATCAGCTAAACTTAGTGTTTTTGCAACGCGTCTTTTTTATTATTTTGATTTTGGGTAGAAAAATATGGCGGATCACTTTGGTAACAATATAAACTCTGGAAACTATAATATCACCTAAGGTAATATTTTATAACTATTAGTAACATTATATAACTTTTAACCAGATGCCGTTAGCGCCGGTATTGGTAATTTTAGTCTCAAAATAGTGTTATTGCTATAATAATCATGTTTATCAGTGCCCTCAAGTACCTTATTTATTTTCTAGTCTAGGAACTTGTGTATAGTTTCCTCGTGGAAGATACTGATGGCACTGAATTTGAAATTTTATTAAAGTTTTTTGAAATTTTTCGGCGAAATGATGTGCTGAACTTTTTTTTTTCTAAAGCATGATGCACAGATTTCTTATAACAATGATAAACAACACAACAACAGACACCTCATATGTCAAATTGGGTAGTTTCGTTTTGCTAAAGGTTTTATAAAAGAAATTATCGTTACCAAAAGTTTTATAACATATACTGCAAACACTACTAGTTTCCAGGTTTTATAAAGATGATTGACAACACTTCTATATAACTAGGGGTATTCTAGTTATATAAATGAGGTTAAGGTAACCTTTATAAAAATTTCTTATAAATACTTTAGTAACGGATACTAAAAGTTTTATAAAATGGTGATGGAAATTAAAGTTACTTCACCTTATTATATACCTGTAAGTTATAGTAAACTTACAAATACTTTATAAAACTATGTTACCATAGGTTGCAGATTATAAAACTTTTAAACCTTATATACCTTTGCTACTATTATACATATCCAGTATATAACTTGGCGTTACTATAAGTTGCGAAAAATGTTTATTGGGAATACCTATATAATATGTATATGCTACGTAGGGCTTAGTAAAACAATTAACCCTCATTAATATCTTATTCATCAATTTATTTATTACTTCAAATGAACAATACATTCTTAAATTATAATATGAGATAATTTTTAACTAAGTCGTTCATGCATTTTAAAATATCTATAATAGATTTACATATCTACACTCATATCAACAGTGTCATTCCTTGTTTGATTACTCACCAGTGACATATTCTGATCACTATTATCTATTGGTGTGCTTTGCTCCATTGAAACCTGTGAGTTGGGTAATTGCTGGTAGTCTGGAATGCCTTCTGGACAATCTAGAATAATAATATAATCACAAAAAGTGAGAACTTTTTTTCCACGAACGCGCGAAGTTTGGTGGCACAAGCTGAAAGATTGCAGTAGATCAAGATCATAGAAATGCGGGTTTTTCTCACGTGTTGCAAATGTTAATTTTTCTATGGCTGCAACATGCTCTCTCAAAGGAATTCTTGAACTAAAAATGCGGTCGATTTAAAAGCAGTTTTGGATGCAAACTGCAGTTGATTTAGGAATCTGATCTTATTGAAAAAAATATAATTATGTTGGACAGTTCTGGTTGTTATCTACTTAACGATTTTCTCGAAAAAGTCCATAAAAACCATGGGTTTTCAGCTAATAGCTGTGTCTCTAAGCGGGGCATGGCTACTAATAGACTGGAAGATAATCATACTCGGTATCGAGTGATCGCCTATGATGATGAGAAAATGCTTCTAATGTAAGGTTTGGTTTCGTGTAAAAGTTAATTTTTTTCCTTGGTATTTTAAGATTTGTATTCTTCTCTACAAGAGAATTATAAATTAATAGTTTGAAACAATTGGATTTGAATGATGTTTGTAAAACTCAAAGGATTATGGGTTCTAGAGTAAAGAATGTTATTTTTTGTTTATCTAGAAAAGGTAAAAATAATGTTATTCTTTTTTATTTGGAAGAGGTGTGACTATCTCCTTCTGGCATTGGGTCACCACTACTTATGGTCCACCTCCACCCTGTATTTTTTGAAATAGTTTAGGAATTTAGTACTCCTGTTTAGCTACAAGTTTATAATAATGAACTCTTTATGAACAGAAAGTCTCTATTTCACAAGCAAATTAAACTAACCACTCGATACCCCTCAGAGTTTAAACTAACAGAACGGTGAAATTGATTATTTGATTCCTAATTATTGTTCAAAAAATGTTGACTTCCTCTTCCTTATATACATCAGAAAGAGTTATGGCGGCCAAAGAATAGAAAGACACCAAACAATTAAATAGGTACAGACTTTAAACTATTTTGATTCAACTTCTTACCTTCATAAGGGCTTTTCTCATCTGCCCACTGATCAATAACATAATTCAACATGGTAGTACTAAAAGTGTCATCTCTTTTTAAACTTAAAGCTTTGTGGAACCAATCCACAGCATCATCATAATTTTCCATTAAAACGTGCACATATGCTATTGCTGATATTGTTGAGGCAGCACGAGGATGCAACAATAGAGCCTAAGATGTGAAGAAATTAATTTATTCATAAAATAATTAAGCAGCGCAGGTGAGTATTTATTACCTGATTATGAAAATCTAAAGCTTCACTGTATTTTTTCAATTTCCTGCAAGTATGACCTAAATTATTGAGTAAAGAAGTCCAAGTTGCTGGTATAGGTCCGCGTTTAACCCTTTTTATTTTTTCTAAAGCTTCTCTGAAATGTTGTTCCGCCCTATCGTATCTATAAACAAAAATATCTCGATAACTAAACATTTCAAATAATCCTAGTGCTTACTCGTGATTTTGAAAACATATAACTCCTTTTTCATGAAGTATAAATGGATCCTCAGGAGCTATGTTTTGGGCTTGCTGAAAGAATTTTTCGGCTAATCTTACATTGTTTGTTAGGCCACATTCCAGGCCAATATAAAGCAGTGGTAAATGACACCTGGAATTTATTTAATTGAAACTTTTGTGGTATTTAATTGAATTGGTTTACCCTTTCATAAGTTGGGAAGCTTTAAAATAGGCAGCCATCGCTTGATCGTGTTCATTTTCGTTGGCGAAAGAATGTCCATAGGCTAACCAAGCGGGACCAAAAAGTCTGTCCAGGCAAGTGGCTTTAGCTAAATATCTTCGAGCATAATCACTTTTACCTTAAATAATTTATCATTATAATGAAAATGCTGCAATCTATTTGTCACTTACCAATTATGTAATAATAACAACCAACTGCAAACCATGATATTGCCATATTTGGGTATAAATCAACTAGAGTGTGAGCCATAGAAAACAACCCTAAAAAATATTGTAATATGTACTTAATATGAAGACAAAAATGATCTTATTTGGTACTGAAACTTGTAGAGAAAAATAGCTTCGTATCTAATTTCTTTTATGTTTAGGTATAAACACATTATTCTCTGGAATGTGTGGTCTTTTCAGTAAAGATTTATTATTACTAAAATACATGTTTGGAAAGGTATACTAGATAAGACCCCAGTTGAGCTCATAAATTAAAAAAAAAGAAGCTCAAAATGCAATAAACAAACAACAGGAGATTGTGTCTTGGAATTCCTTGTTTTTCTCTTTTTACCAATCATATCATATTCAAGTGCCTTTGAGATACGGACGGTTCATTCCAATAAGTATTTATCCTAATTAATGACAAGCAAAACCAACAAGTTTACCTTGAGGACAAGAATAACAATAAAAAAGATTAACTTTCACTTACTTATACTCTGTTTCAATTCAACTAGACAAGATATATGAATGGGCAGACATCCATCGTGATAAGGATCCTTTTTCAAAATCCTCTCGGTCAAATTAATGCAATTTTTATAATCACAATTATAATAAAACATCTCGGCTTGTGAGACGTGCATTTCCAAATTTTCTTGCAATTTACATATAGCCACATTTTCAACCATGTCTATTTGCATTTTATTATCACCTAGGCTAAGTCTAGTTCTTGCATTTTTTTCGTTATTTTGTGCCACCATTGGGGTGCTTATTGAATTAGGATCTGGTAGACTAGGCGACGAAGGTAAGGATTTGATACAGCCAGGAGTACTGCCGACTTTTTTGTTATTTATGAATACAGTAGGAATTGTTTTGGTTATGTGAACTATAGGGGTGTGATATTTTTTAAGTTTCGACTCGTACAGCATTCTAATAATTTCCGCTTCTTCTGTTGTACATTGTTCTGCTATTGGCATGGATTGGAGAAGATCTTGTTCTGAAATTCATACAAATAAATACCTATTTTCATCAATATGAACAAATATTATCACCTTCTGCGGCATTTAACATTTGATATTTAATAAGTAGTTCAAATGCTTCAAAACAATGTACATCATAATGCAAGGCTTGTTTGTAACAATCGGCTGCTAAACCTCTATTATCCATAGCTTCCAGAATTTTTCCTTTTAAAAGTAAAAAGGAGGATAATGCTTGCTAAAATGGTTTTGTTTTTGTTTTGACTAAAAGAAAAAAAAAAAAACACTTGTCTTACTTACATATTTTGGGGTGTCATCAAATAAATTTACTTCTATTTCTGATATACTAGGCGGAAATGTACTATTACTTATAATATTATTAATGTCACTGTTGTTTATAGATTTGAGCGCTTCGCTATATTCATTCGCCTCGTGATAGCATTTTACTGTTAAGTAAGTGCACAAAATGTGTGTCTGAAAATTTAGATTCTTTTATGTAAAAGTTGACTACTAATGTTAGTAGAGCTTACCTTATCAAGATTCTTCGACTGCAGCAAAAAAGCAGCCCTGTGGTACTGTTTCTGTAAAAACATACATTGAGCCAACCAGTAAACATCTCTTGGATTATCTGTGAGTGTGACAACTTTATCTGCCCAAAATAAAGCTGAACTATAAATATGCTAGAAGGAAAATAATGTTAGGTATCGTAATAATTTCCATAAATCCGAGCATATATCGAAAATTTATGGTACTGGTGTTAAGTGTACAGGGTGATCCAGTATAAAGTGAGCACCCCCTACCTTTTCGCTAAAAAATTTTTTTTTCAAAAAATCAAGATTGCCATTTGGTGTATTTTGTTTCTAGGTGTTTGAGAACGTTTTTCGAAATTTAATTAGATTTTTCATTAAAGCGCTGTGACCAAAAAAGTAATTTTTTTAAATGGAATAACCCGAGGAATAACCTATATTTAAATCAATTTTTTAAACGTCCCTATTTTCCTCATTTCAAATATATAGTTTGTTTATCTTTATTTCAAACATTTGCGATATATTCTCATTTCAAAATTCAAATAAAAATAGCCAAAAAGGTATCAAGGTAAATCTAAATAATTTTACCTTTAATAAAGCTGCTGGTGATTATGTTTTATGATACCTTTTCGGCTATTTTTATGTGAATTTTGAAGTGAGAATATATTGCAAATTTTTAGAATAAAGATAAACCAACTATATATTTGAAATGAGAAAAATAAGGACGTTTAAAAAATTGACTTAAATATAGGTTATTCCATTTAAAAAAATTACTTTTTTGGTCACAGCGCTTTAACGAAAAATCTAATTAAATTTCTAAAACCGTTCTCAAACACCTAGAAACAAAATACACGAAAAGGTAGGGGGTGTTCACTTTATACTGGATCACCCTGTACAATCCAGTGCATTTTCCTTATACTTTGAGGTTTTATCGATTCTACACAAACCTAGAACCTGCAATATGTATGTGGTTGAAGCGATGCAACCTCATAGTATGAGGAAAATGCAGTGGATTATACAGTTGAAACCTGTACTATGAATCTTCTATATGGAAAATATTCCGATAAGACTTGCGACACTGTGAAAGGGAGTGTGATCCAAAAAAAACAAGCTACTTAAATCAAGAAAGAAAATCCCCTAATCGTATAACAAAAATCATTAAACAATCTTCAGGCTTCAAGATTAAATTATATTTTAAATAATTATTTTGAATTGGTTTATTGGTGTATTGAAAACGTCTATGTTTTGAAAACTATCTGAAAAACTCGAGGGGTCAACAACTATGCTTACAAATATACAATGAATTCCATATTTGGCAATCACTGATCAATGAATCTTATTATTCCCATCCCAAAAATCGCGACTGATTGCCAATGATTTTCCGATATTTTTGTATGATTACCAGGTGATTTCAATTTTGTCTGGAGATTCCTATATCATTCCCAATTGATTACCTGATTTCCTCGATCAAGAGATTTCCAGCTGATTTTATCACAAAAACGATGTCCGATTGTTAAGCTTCGCATTGATATGACCAAAATAAGCAGTTTTTTACTTATAAAAACACGTTTCGACTAAAAAATTGGCAAATTCGGTATTTGCAACTCTTTCCAAAAGTTAACAACTTTTATTTTTGTGGTTGTCCACACCAACACAGATTTTGTTGTAGGTATAAATAGTTGTTCAGCCCTAGATACCATTGCGTGTCTACACTGCATAATGTGGATGTAAAATAATGGATATTTCTTTGATTTCAATAGGATGTTCATCTAAATCAGAGACATATTCAGTTCCAGTTTCAGTCGCTAAACTTATTTCTGATTCTGATTCAGATGTACTATCGCCTCTGCTTCTCGCCCTGCCTAGTATTTATTCTACTTTCCCTTTTCAAGTTCTTATTGTCTTGAATTCTCGACTATTTCTTTTGCGTCTTTCTCAGGGACATTCCCATAGCTCTTAATACTCGATCGACAAACGTCCCTGCTTCTCTGAAAAGAACCAAATTGAAGTTTAGTCCTGAATAATCTCTTACATGTAGCGAATCTTAATTGCTAAACCCCGATGTGTGAAGAAATACTGTGTCTTCTTTGGGCAAGTCGGATTCGAGAGAGGTTTTAAGATTCATGTTTTCATTTCTATGATCTACAACAATGTCATACTTTAGGTCTGTTCTCACAGAAATTACAAACCAGTCAGAGCGAATTTCATTGGTTGGAAATAGTCAGAAAACTGATTGTTGGCGATTTGTACGAATCCAAAAAACTCTGACAGATTTGTGATTTCTGTGAGAACAAACTTCATCTTCATCTTGTTCTTCTTCAAGTTCTAAACTCTTCGTAGTCTCGGGCTTAGTTATTGGGAAACTCGTTGGGATATCAAATTCATTTCAAATTGTCTAGCACTCAATGTTGCCTAAAGCCGGAGTCGCATGCATCCGTTATCCGACGAAACATGTCCGAAAAACCTTCTATTCTGACATAATCATATACAAATATGTCAGAATAGAAGGTTTTTTCGACATCTTTCGTCGGAAAACGGATACATGCGACTCCGGCCTAAAACTTAGTCTTAAAGGCAAATACACAACTGATCGGTCCACTGTATCGTTCAAAATGACGTATGATATGCGATTTCTGAATTAGAATGAGATGATATTCCCAGCAATTACCACATGATTCTCAGCGATTGCCAATGGATTTCTAAGTATGTGATTTCCATGGAGTCCTAGGAGATTCCTACCGATTTCCTGGTTATTCCCATTGACTCCCAAGTGATTTCTGCTTATCAAGCTCTGGTTCACTACGTATGTATATATGGGCTGCTTGTCTGGGGACATTCGAGTCATGCTGATAAGGTTTTCGGCCTGGAGTAAGGGATGGTGTGATGCCAATAGGCTTTGCTTCAACATACAGAAAACAAATTTACTGACATTTAAGTGTGCCCTAACTGACATCAGACTACAGGACGAAACATTAGAGAATAGAACTACGTTCAAGTTTTTGGGTCTGCACATTGATTCCGAGTTGAAGTTTGAGCCTCACATTAATTGCTTGACCAAAAAATTAGCAAGTGCCTGCTATATCATCAGAACCATTTCTCATGAACTTGACAAATCGGCCGCCAGACAGACATACATTTCATTGTTTGAAGCACATGTGAGATATGGAATAGCGTTTTGGGGATACTCTGTCCAAAGATCAATTCAATCAGTGTTTATACTGCAAAAGAGAGCCATAAGGTATCTTTGTGGCGTGGGCTGTAGAGAAACATGCAGACCTCTATTTAAGCAAGAGGAAATATTGACACTACCTTGCATTTTAATTCTTGAATCGGTCAGATTGGTATTTAAAAATTTTTCTGGTTTTGTTCAAGAGAGAGCGAATGGCTTTCGACATAATCAATTGCCCCTACCTATTCCTAAACTTGCATTGACAAAAAAACTCATTTATGAGAGCATTAAAATTTTTAATCATTTACCTCAAGAACTACGACACATCAACGACTATTGCGTCTTTCATGTGTCGGTTAAGCGGTTTTTAGTCGCCAGAGCTTACTATGGTCTCAGGAAATTTTACGAGGGTTAACTGCAGATTATCGGTAGATGCGAGTTATATTTTTATTTTTATTTATTTAGTGATGTTTTGTGATCAAAGTGGTCAAATTTTGCTGTAAAATTGTTGGTGTATTTATGTTGTAGATTTTTTTTTTTTTATCTTGTAATGAAACATATTACATTACACTTTATTGTCAACATTATACCTAATCCTTATAAATGTAATAGTGGTAGTAGTTAGTATTTACTGTAAACAATTGCTTTGTCAATGAAAATGGCTACGTTCACCAGAACCAAAACGGATTGTAAACAGTTTACAAATACCAACAGAATATGTTGGGTAAACTCTTGGTTCTGCTGAACGATTCAATTTTTCAATGATAGAACGTCATCCTCGGAATGACAGGTCACCACACAAAACACAGTGTTGAAAATTATAAACACTCTCAAATAATGCTTGCAAAAATGGCGACCGGTTGCAAAACATGTTTGGTTTCAACATAAACTCAACGTAGCGTTCAGCAGAACAATTGCAAACCGTTTACCAACGTTTGTATCTGGTGAACGCGGCCAATATCTTTTTTCTGTACAATAAAGCTTACTTTGATTTGATTTGATTAGAAATTCCAGAAGATGTTTAAGTAAAGATTTTTGGGGATTTAATTTAAATAAGATTTTGAGGAATTCCAATGGATTTTTGGAGATTTTGCGGTAATTGGTAATTGGTTAAATGCAAAAGACACGAGCATATGCCATTGCTTAAGTTTTTTGAGATAAACATGTTCAGATTTAATGCATCAAAAAGGGAGCAGCAACTCGAGCAGCAAGTATTTGCTTTACCTACACTTTATTCATATGACTGATTGTTTTACTGAAGTTTTACTATTTCAAGAAATCAAATTCAACTTTTCTAAGACACTCTTAGAAAAAGTATTGTTCCTAACACTTGTGCAAAGTGTCTTTCCCGCATTTAAAGCATATCCGAACTCCGCTTCGCGTTGTTCGTCTAACTGCTTTTTCGTGCGGGAAAGTAACACTTTGCGCACTTGTTAGGAAAATAACTATTTCCGCACTGACACCCGTGCGGAAAAACTTTTCCCGCACTGATATGCGTGCGGTAAAAGTTTTATCGCACCGCGGCTGTAGGAAAAGTTTTTTTCCCATGCATAATAATCTCTTGTCTATTGTCTATTTGGAATAGTAGAGGAAATAGTAAAAAAAAATCCGAGTAGGTATAATCTCAATGTTCGAAAAATTCGATTGCAGATTCTGGTCTTCAATCAGCTTGTAGATATCAACAGGTGTCGGCACAGAGTTATCTTTGTGCTGTTCCGATAAAAACATTATTAAAATATAGGATACTTGTCGACTATCAGCCATAAACAGTCTTTCTTCCATGAGTGAAGCTGCTTCTTCTTCTATTCTAATCATTCAACTCCTGAATCTCGAACTGTCTGAACAAATTGAGACAGAGACAGATTGGGCCTATTCGGGTTTGGAAAAGGATGGTTCTAGAACAGTTGAAAAGAATTGGACACTTTATTATTGAAATTTGTGATAGCCGAGTTGTTGTCATTTTGTTGATTGCTCGGTTGATTGATAAACTGTCCAATTGTTTTGAACCGTTCTAGAACCATCCTTTTTCTAAGCCTGAATAGGCCTATTAATTGTTGTATCTAAAGTACCTCTATATAAATGATTATGATAAAGCAGAGTGGGCCTCTTTTATAAGAACTTTAGGCACAGGCCTAATTGGTGATGCAGCCCTGCTAAGACTGGAGAGAAGCTTACACAACATGAAAGAGAAAGACCCATTTCTGATAAGCTGAACAAATGAAAATTGCTCAGCAAATTGATAAAACATTGATGAATGCAAACTGAAATCACAAGAATGATGTATATGGATGGGATTAATGGGATGCTATGCTGGGAAATAGATTTTGACCAGGTTTTTATTTTTATTTTTATTTTTATTTTTATTTTTATTTTTATTTTTATTTTTATTTTTATTTTTATTTTTATTTTTATTTTTATTTTTATTTTTATTTTTATTTTTATTTTTATTTTTATTTTTATTTTTATTTTTATTTTTATTTTTGTTTTTGTTTTTGTTTTTATTTTGGTTTTTGTTTTTGTTTTTAATTTTTATTTTTGTTTTTATCTTCATTGTTTAGTGATTAGAATTTTATTACTAGTTATCAAGATATGTAATCTATTAGGAAGTTGGATCTTATGGATATTATGATTATGTAGTTTATTTTCCACAGCTTTGTAAATGAGACTATGTCTTCCTACAATAAGCAATATTGATTTGATTTGATTTGATTTTTGATTTTCAAAATACGCATCTTCTTTATCCTGGTAAGTTCGGTATTTTAATTTTATAAAAACAAAAATGAGGATGCTTACCAAATCGATATATTGGTGCACTAATTTTCTATACTTCTCTATGAATTCTGTTATCTTATTGCCGGTTTTCATCTTAAACTTGTATTTAACTCATGTATTTTATAGATTTATTTACAATTTTCAAAAAATAATTTTAAATTTTACTTTTTAGGTTAGTCTCATAGTCACCGAATATGCGCTGACTTCATTTCGTTTGTTGCAACCTGCCCTAGGTCGTATTTTTAGAGTGCAGTGCAATAATTTAATGTTCGGGATGAGCTCACAAGTTGTGTTCGAGGACCCGAACGGAGTGCGGGAGAGCCCAGTATTAAAAATAGAATGCCCTGAAAAATTCTACGGCAGTTCGGGTAATCCTTGCCCTCGCCGAGACACGATACAATCGAACGATTGAGGGCTGGTTTATCAGTCAAGGGATAACTCGCAGAGTTTGCTGACCCTGGGTCAACTTTAGCTCTGGGTTAACCAATGAACTATAGTCAAAAACTGGAATGCGCACACATTGCCATATCTGCCAAAAAAATGAAGCCATGAAAGACAGATGCCACAAGGGGAAATGTTGTTCTTTTCTGTTGCTCGCTGACATATGATGTTTTGGAAAGTTTTGTCATATTTTCCTTCACAGATTTCATCAATTGGAATACGTGTTGGAAGCAATTTCCGCCATTTAACGTAATGAGTGCGACAAGAACAGGTATCCCCTCCGCAGCAGCGGCACTAGGCTTCACGTTCGTCAATATGTGTACGCATTCCAGTTTTTGGTTATAGTTCATTGGGGTTAACTTCCTAGTTTAGTCGAAAAGTCGAAAGCGCGCCAATGAAGGACTGCAGCTGACGTCACTGCAATGGCGGACAGATTTAGCCAATTTGGCAAGCCTGTAGAGTTTACGATTCTTGGATCAATCAGGATATTCATATTCTTTTTATTCTAGGGCTAGGCTCTTGAATTTTCTATATTTCAGATTATATGATATGTTGATGTTTCTTTCAATAATTTTAGAAATATCTGGAGTTTAGTTATTGAAAGATCTATTCACGTATCACAATGTTTTGCGACAGGTTACAGGTAAATCAAGGTGAAATTTATTCAAAAAACTACTCTCTTTGAATAACTAAACTCCAAATATTTCCAAAACTATCGAAAGAAACACTAACATATTATATAATCTGAATCAGAAAAACGAGAACTTTAAGAATTTGAAAGAAAATAAAGGGCATTCCATTTGAAAAAAGTGAACATTGACATATTTTTCCACTTTTTGTTGCTCATTTGTACAATCTTATTGAAAATTCTGGCGGTTCAGATGAAATACTACAACTTTTGTATTTACACCGTTCACCTATCACCTGTAATTACGGCCGCAGGTGGGTGTCAAAATATGGTGACTCACACTGTACATACATACATCAATACGCGATATCACTACTTTTAAATCATGAAGATATCGTATCGAAAAAATCGATATTTTCTCCCAAGCGTTTCCACTAAGGGCTAGTTTATCAATCAAGGTTAGATAACTCGCAGTGTTTGCTGATCCTGGGTCAACTCTAACTCTGGGTTAACTTCCTAGTTCAGTCGAAAAGTGTTTATCCAAGCTTTTCTAACCCAGGGCTGGTAAAATCTCAAAAGTTCTTCGAAGGTTGGCAGTGTTGCCAGTGTTGGCATTACTTATGCAACGTTGCCAGCTCACTTTTTCCATTTTTTTTGGTATTTCTTGCTCATAAACTTACTTTTTTATGTTATTTTTTTTTTGTTTTTTTTTCCGTTTCCGTAGCGGAAAGTTCGGTTTCGTGTATTCTTGTGTAAAAATCCGATGTTTTATGTGTTATTTCGAATGTCTGGAAAAAAACAAACATGCTATGCTATGCTCGATTTGATCTAGAACAAACAGAAAATTTTGAGGTTTACCTAGGGTCAAATATGCTATTTGGTCGTGAGAGCGCGGGTTTACTTTTCCTGGAATAACTTTAGAGTTAGAAGTTGACCCTGGATAAATAAGCACTTGTCACAATTTTGACCCAGGGTTATCCCGAACTCATGGGGTAACCCTCTATTGATACACCGGCCCTGAAACCAGCTAATCAGCGGAGGCCGAGCAAACCCAAAACAGTCTAAACAGAGTACTCCTAAAATCTCTCTAATAACGCGTGTGTCGTCTCGATCGTTCCGTTCAAATTGGGCAAATCGACGGGCGCACTCGGAGTGCATCCTCTGCGCACCTGGAGTGCATCGTACACCCTCTATCGAGTAACGCTTTGCACCTAACTTGGCCCTGGACTGTTCGTTCAATCTGAACGCGCCCCATCAGCCAACTATTAGCGCGTGCGTAACCTAACCTCACTCTGTCTTATCTATCATATCTCGAATCACGTCTTCTAACCATCAAAGTCCAAAATTTTAATTATTCACTATTCAGTCGAAGAAAAATAATAATGGCTTTAATTGGAGTAAGAAGCATTCTAAGATGCGGCCAAAGCATAAGTGATTCTCTTCTCTTCAATTCAAGGTAAGCGTAAACATTTCTATATTCTCCATTGCTCAAATAATATATGACCTTTGTAGAAGTATAACCATAAGCAAAACCAAATTTAACAAAACAGTTGAAGAAAGTAGCAAGAGCGAATCAACAGAAGTACCTCCTCCTGAAATTGGTAAAGGAAATGAAGAATTTGAAAAATTCAATAAACAAATTGCAGAGCTTACAGACAAGAATTTAGATTTAGTAGTAAGTTGTTATAATATGATGTAATAGTTTTGGTTTTTCTGTGTACATTGTTGAGAGATATTCCAAGTTTCCAAAATTTGTTAGTGTAAAATGTCAGCACAGCCCTCCAACAAATTTGGCTGCAATGGGCCACATTGTTTTATCAATCCCATATAAAAATCAGAGTGACTATTCATACAAACTGTGTATCAAGGTGTCTTGTAATAGCTGCAATGCTGCTATAACTGTTATTCATACACGGTGTTCGTATTTTAGACAAACAGAGCTAGTCCAAACTTACCCAAACTAACCCGTCCGTCCTCTTAAGGTGGGTTTAGCCAACTAATAATGCATAAATACACCTGTTTATACAATGCATAGTGGATAGTGGATAATTTAGTGCATAATGCGTAATTCATAAAGTTGACTAACTTTTAACTTTTACGAATTATCGATTATGCATTGTGCAAAAAACGCGAGAAAAAACGCTAGTGCGCAAGCCTATATTAATTGATTATTTCCAACTTTGTTTTTGTTTTGGTTTTGCTTCATAACCTCGAAATCTTGTTGTCTGTTTTTATGCTGTTTTCAATGGTTTTTGTCTGATCTGGAATCGAGTTTTTCCGTTTTTAATTATACAAATGGGATTTTTCCTGACAATATAAAGCCTAATTTATAACTATATTTAATTATTATTTTATGAAAAATAACAAGTGTCAAACTCAGCTGTCTTGTCAGTTCTTAATGCACAAAAATTATGTGTTGTATAAACACCTATTTTCTCTTATGCATTACGCGTTTAATCTTTGAAAAAGTTGAAAACCCTTGGAGAAAATATATTGTCTCCAACAAGAATTGAACAAAAACCGAGCGTATTCCTATGTATTCTAACTGGGCCAAGAAACTATTTTAAACATTTAGAATTTCAAATCAATTGATAAAATTTTCGGGTCTCAAAAAACAATAAATAAATTTTAGATATCTACAGATCGTGAACGATCTACTGGCAACTTTTAAATAAGGTAAAAATAAATCCTAAGTAAGGAATGTTCCATTTTCTCCTAAAAATAATAGGCTTGGTTTATTAAGACAAGCACTTGCACTCCCTAATCACTTGGATAGGCTAATAATAAATGATGAATGGTTGAAATAATAATATAATATTTCTAGGATAAATATAAACGTGCATTAGCGGACGGTGAAAACCTTAGACAAAGACTAACAAAACAAATTTCGGATGCGAAAATTTATGGCATTCAAGGATTCTGTAAAGATCTCTTAGATGTAGCCGATGTTCTTGGAAAAGCAACAGAGACTGTGCCTAAAGATCAAATAACAGATAGCAATCCTCATTTAAAAACCCTTTATGAAGGCTTGATAATGACTGAGGCTCAACTTAAGAGTGTTTTCAAAAGACATGGATTGGAACCTGTGAACCCTTTGGATGAGAAATTTGATCCTAATTTCCATGAAGCCTTATTCCAGCAGGCAAGAATTAAATGTTTTATTTAGTTTTATTTCTAATATTGTTTATTTTAGGAAGTGGAAGGTAAAGCAGCTGGCACAGTCGTGGTAGTTTCTAAAATTGGTTATAAATTACATGATAGAGTGTTAAGACCAGCTCTTGTAGGAGTTTCTAAATAAACTAAAAAAAAAGTATTATAATAATATATTATATATTTTTGTTTAATTCCAAGTGTTCTAGTGCGGATTTGATTATATCACAAGAACTTGTTTAAAAGTGTAATTTTTTTGTTTTTATATAATGTATTAGAAATTTATTAAGAACTCAATTTGGTTTCATTTTGCTGCTTCAGCTTTGAGCAGGTGCCCTACATGCTGCATGTTAAATCCTGTCCAAAGATATGATCAGCTTTCCAAGGATGATGACATGCCAATAATATAGCTTTGTTTTGGTTTTAAGACTAGTACTCATAACTGCGAAATTCGCATTTCGCAACTGTTTTGACAGTGTTTTGGTTTATCTAGAACTTTTAAAGGACAATTCTGGGATGGTCTAGAACAGTTCTTGCTCTGAAGGAGGAACTGTTTTAGAATTTTGTGATTTGCGACGTGTTTTGGTTTTTTTGGTTCCGAATCGGTTCAGAACTAGTATTAGAACAGTCCTCAATTATTTTTTGTGCTCAAGCAATTCTGCGCAATCCCAGAACCATTCCAAACTTTGAACCAAAACAAAGCTAATAAACTAGTGCAATTTTTTCTATTTCTGTTTTTTCTTCTACAGGTCGAATAAAAGGATGCCAATACACTCAGTGCGCGAATCTACCAATCGGAAATGCCATAAGATTTAAGCATACAGGGTGCGTCAAAAAAGTGTAGTAGAACAACGTTGCATATTATTTTAAATGGAAGACCATGTATATTATGCGCTTATTTATTAATCCCTTCCAACCTGATTTCAACGATATGGTTTGATATGTTTATCTCTCGGTTTATCTTCAATAGTTATAGAGAATTTATTTATTTATTTATTTCCACTTCCAACGGGCAGCAGCCCAATTTTACAAATATTGCCATAATAATAATATTAATACTAATAACAAACCACATATAAATAAAAATTTCAAAAAGAGTACAATTGAAAGGACAACAAAAACAGCCAAAAACAGATCACAGAGTAAATTACTAGATTACAAGATAATATCACAGTGATAGCTTCATTTGGTGCAAAGACGCAGCAAATATGTCCACCTGTATCTCATTGGCATAAGACATAGCCCGATTAATAGTTGTGTGTTGGCCATAAGAGGTACGATGTTTCTCCAACGAAAAACAGCGCACAGCTCTAAAATTCCTCACTAGGACATTCAAGTTTACAGCCGAGAGCAACTCAGGGATATTCAGATAACCTCTGAGCAACTTAAAAATCAGTAACTGATCAAATTTTCTATGTCTATGCTTCAATGTTTCCAATGACAAATTCTGCAAAAGCCTAGCTAAAATCTGAAGGAATTCCCATTTTGTACCCTATGTATCTCAAGAATTTTCTCTGTACACGTTCAACTAATTTAACATAAATTTTATAATGTGGTGACCACACACAGCTATTATTTTCAAAATGGGAACAAACCAATGACACATACAAGCACTTGAGAGCAGAAATATTCTTGAAGTCTCTTGTGTGTCTTTTGATAAAACCCAACATTTTCAATGCTTTATTACAACATGCATAAATGTGTTCAGAAAATGACAATTTTGCATCAAATATAACACCTAGGTCACAAATACTAGAAACATTTTCAATAACATTATCATTTATATAATAGTCATTTAGTTTGGGAGAATTTTTCCTAGAGAACTGAATATATTTTCATTTCTTGCCATTCAAAGTCATCTCGTTCTCAACACACCACTCATGGAACCTCAGAAGATCATCCTGCATTCCCCTGTCTGGGCCTTCTTGATTTATACTCTTGAAAATTTTCAAGTCATTGGCATAATAAAAATTGGACATGATGGAAGCAAGACCCTATGTCATTGATAAATAAGAAGAACAGGAGTGGTGCAATATGACCCCCCTAATGCACCCCAGAAAAGTAACACCAATAACCTCACCTTTACAATCTGGCTTCTGTCTACAAGATAAGAATACAGCCATTGAAGAAGTGAAACACATACACCATATTTGGAAAGTTATTCTATCAACAATGCATGACTCACCCTATTGAAGGCCTTGGAGAAGTCAGTATAGATGGAATCTACAATCTGACCGGCTTCCAAGGTCCCAGATATGACTCGTTCATACACTAGCAAATTTGTTGTTATAGATCGACCACTGGTAAAACCATGCTGTTCTGGAATTATTATATTTTTAAATTTTTCAGTTGAAAAATCGTTTACCAGTGATTCAAATATCTGTAATATGGCGATAATTCTCAACATCTTCCTTGTTGCCAGAGTTTTTAAAAATCGGACATACAAAAGATAGTTTCCAATATTTTGGAAAGACTCCAACAGACAATGATTTATTATATATCAGCCACAAGGGTCTAGATAAGGCTAGTGCACAGTTCTTAAGAAATAATGGAGGTATTCCATCAGGTCCTGGACCTTTATTTATATTGATGTGACTCAGCTTATTGAAAACTTCACCAATGTTAATAGGTAATTTATTGTACCATGTCTCGAAAAGCAACAGGTTCACAACTTCCCACATTACCCATAGGACCAGCAGACGCGTAAACCGATGCAAATTGCCTTGCAAAGAGATTTGCAATGCCCTCACCATCAGACGCCACGCCCCCTTGATAATGGAGTGTGGGTGGCAACTCTCTAGAATGAGTTTTAGAATGGATATATTTCCAGAAATTTTTGGGATCTTTTAATACATTATGCTCAGTTCTCCCAATATAATCAAAATAACATCTTTCTGCCTGAACCTTATAAGTAGCTCTCAGGTGTTTAAAATAATTGTTATCATCCAAGCTATAACAACAGAAAACTGCAATAATTCCTTTCTAAGTTTCATGTATTTTTTTTTTCAAATAATAATAAAAGCTTCAGTTATCTGGATTTTTTATAATATATCACCTCGTAAATTAATGAATAACATTTGAACAATAAATTGTTTATAAACGATTCTCTCTGGGCCAGTTTCTCAATAGCGAGTCATCCCCGGGTTGGTTTTAGGGTTAACGTTCAAAGTTGCAATGTTTACCCAGGAGGTGAGGTGACCCGCCCTCTAAACCTTAAATAGTATAATTTTTCTTTCTTCAACATAAAACTTGAGAGGGGTTTTCACGTTTTTCCCTATAACTATTGAAGATAGACATATCAAATCATATATCGTTGAAATTAGGTTAAAGGGGACTAACAAATAGGTGCACAATATACATGGTGTTCCATTTAAAATAATATAAATTCGCACTGCCACACTTTTTGGACGCACCCTGTATGTTTAAAACTGACTTAGTTAAAAACTTTTGGCAATTTCTGCAAACTTTTGTATTTGACATCTTTGTCAAAAACGTCAAATGAAAAAGTTAGGAAGGGGTGACATTTATAATAAATCACCCTGTACCACTTGTCCTACTTGTGATGTCAATAACCATTTTCTACTACCTTACTTGAAAAGGTACCTAATTTTCAACCTCTAAAAAAGGGAGGAAAATGGTTCTTTTCCTCCCTGCGGAAGGATTTTTTTTCCTCACCCTTAAAAGTAAAAATTATTCTTGTGCGGATGGCAAGCATCCATAATTTGTGGCACTTGTGAATGTTTTGGCTGATGGCATTTCTATATTAGATTAGTAGTTCCACGTTTTTTTTTTTTTACGGATATGCGCACTCGCAAGGAAATGTCCTATCACGCTCGAGAAGCGGCAAGTGCGCGGAAATGTCGGTGTATGTTGGTCTTGAAACGGTTCAGGTTGTAACCTGCAGGGAAAACCGTCGCAGGGAGTTTATTCCACAGCGATGCTGTTCTCCAGAGATATGAATTCTGATATAATGAGGTTCTTGGTGCCTCTAGTTTGACAGTAAATTCATGGTTACCGTCTGTTTGACGGGTTCGCCTGGTAGGCGCTACTCTCGGTGGAATTATACGTGCCAACTCTTCAGAGCATTTTCCGTGATAGTACCTGTAGAAGAGAGATAAATCGCCCACAGATCTGCGATGTTCGAGACCATCCAAGTTACGAGTAAGTGCGGGGTCATTGATCAGCTTGATAGCTCGTTTTTGCACGGTGTTCAAAAGCATTAAGGTATGTTTGGGTGCTGCACTCCATATATGTGAGCAGTACTCCATAGTTGGTCGAATCTGGGCTTTGTAGAGTGTCAGCAATTGGCTTGGTGTGTACAGATGTCTTGTACGAAATAGCACCCCCAGCTTTTGGGACGCCCTTTTAGCAATATCTGCCACGTGATTGTGCCAAGACATGTTGGTCTCTGCAGTAACACCCAAGATGTTCAACTGACTCTGTAATGTGACAGCACTTCCAGATAGCATGATGTTTGGCTCACCGGTGCTGTTCTTTTTTGAAAACGGAGCTGCAGAGTTTTCTGTGCGTTGAACTGTACAAGGTTTTTGTTACCCCAGTCCTCTATTATCTCCAGGTCGTTATTTATCTGCGATATTTGAGTTAGTCTAAGATGATGGAATTCACGTGCGGAAAGACCTGTGGGTGGTATGAGTGAGGAGACTACATTGCCATCGTCTGCAAAGCAATAAAGTGGATTTACTGTTTTATCTATGAGGTCATTTATGTAAATCAGAAAAAGAGTTGGCGAAAGGATTGCTCCCTGTGGCACACCAGCATTTATTTGGTAAGAGTTGGAGTTCTGGCCATCCAGTGCTACATAAATGGATCTGTCCTTTAGGTAACTTTCAAACCAAGTGCAAAGTTTCGGTGATAATCCCATTGCTTTGAGCTTGTTGAGCAGATTTTCATGCTTAACTTTGTCGAATGCTTTAGATATATCTAAGGCAATTGTTCTTGTTTCACCCCGCAACTCAATCGCTTTTTGCCATAAGTGAGTGACGTATGTAAGTAAATCGCCAGTTGACCTATATTTTCGAAATCCGTATTGCTTATCGTTGATAATTCTGTACTTTTCCAAGTACTTGGTTAGGTGATTACGTTCCACTAGAAGTAAAAATTTGACAGAACTTTATTAAAATTGAAATAAAAAAATCAATGTCATTCGAGGTTTTAGAGCATGGGTAAGGCGGAAGGTGGCCCTAGGGGTTTACCATACCCCTCCCTGACCAAAATCGGTGCCATTTTTTATTTTCATCTATTGCCTATTTTGTTTATATTTTTGAGCCCCAGAAATTGAAGTTTTTTTTTTTAAATTTTTGACTTGCTATGTACAGTCGTGAGTACAAAAAGTAGGACACCCGACTTAGCTGGTGCGCCCGTTTTACAATAGGAAAAAACGGATGTCCCACTTTTTATGGTCACGACTGTACAGGGTTATTGGTTATAAATGTCACCCCCTCTATCTTTTTTATTTAACATTTTAGAAAAAAGTGTCCCAAATAAAAAATTTATTGTTGAAATTAAATTTTTTGAAAAACTCATTTTTGCATATACAGGGTGTTTCAAAACAGCTGGTCGCGCTCCAACTTTCTTTGGCATCAACTTTGAATTTAATGCCTGATTAAAAAGTCCAATTAAATTTATTCTTGGGTTAAATTCAAAGTTGGTGTCAAATGATAACTTGTGAAAATCTTAGAAAAAAATGTAAAATCGGTTTTGCTCAAAGGTTAACCGTTTAGGTTTTACAGCCTGTCAAATTTGCAAAAAAGTCAATTTTCAACTGTCAATATTTCCAAAACAGTAGAATTAAGGTATAGGGTATGTCACATGAAATCTGTTCAGAATTTGATGTAGAATCCGAATATTGAATAATATACAGGGTATTCAATTAAAAATAACAAAGTTGGAGCACGACCAGCTTTTTTGAAACACCCTGTATATGCAAAAGTGAGTTTTCCAAAAAATTTAATTTCAACCATACATTTTTTATTTGGGACACTTTTTTCTAAAATGTCAAATAAAAAAGATAGAGGGGGGTGACATTTATAACCAATAACCCTGTACATACAAACTTGCAACTGCATGGAGCTATTCTTTCGCATTTTCCCCTTTTCAAATCCCTTCCAAAGCCAATTTGCTAAATGTTTTTTGTAACTTCTATAAGTATATTCTTATATTTAATTATCATGTGATAAACAATAATTATTATGACTGCTTTGGAGTTAATTATAGGTTTTGCCAATTATTTTAAACGGCCTAATGTGCAAAACAAAAATCGTAATTCAAACTGTTTATAGTTTATTGAAATTATAGCTCTTACAGCACTATAAGCAAATATTTAATTACATATCCTGTTAGTTTTTTTTCACTAAAAGCAAAAATATCACTTATTCACATTCACAAAAATACAACCTATTATAATATTTTTTTTTGATTAATATAGGTACATACCTACTTTATTAAATTAAGTGGAAAAATTTGTGTGAACTACCCATTTAATTCGAAGATATTGCTTTTTCTATAAGAATTTATAACTAAAACGATCGATTAGATATGTAATATTATTTTTATAATGCACCCTCAGAACAAAAACAAACAACAAAATGTTATTATTGATAAATCTAAAATTAGGACTAATTATTATACTGAATAAAATAATAAAAACCAAAAAATTAAAATTATAACTTATTTTTGTGAAATTTCATAAAAACAGACATATTACAACTATGTAAGTAATCCAAACAAAAATAAAAAAAAAATGAGGATTATTAAAGAAAACATAAGTAATAATTCTACAAAAAAAAAAAATGGAAGAAAAAGAAAGCTTAGAGAAGATCGTTTTCACATTTACCTTATTGCTAATCCTTTCAACTTAAATGGTGTTTACACTAGATGCAATGTAATTTAAAGAAGGCATCCAATCGGTTGCACATGCAATATCATGCCTGGTGCCATTTAGATAAGGCGCATTTTATTTTCATGTAGTCATTTTTCTAGCCAGTTATGCCACATTAGAAAATCGGTGGGTAAAGCCATTGCAGCTAAATAAAGACAGAAAATAAGTAACCACTCATGAATTTTGGAAATGTGGGGATGAGAGAAGCTATACATAATTTCTTACAAATGGATAAAAAGGCTTTTAATAAGCCATAAAATATAAAACGATTTTTATTTGTGGAATTTTTAGGTTGGCAGAAACAATGTATGTATGCTTTAATTCAATGCAATGCAATGAGAATTGCATCAGTTGATTGCATAGGACGAAGTGAAATTATTGCATTGCATTTACTGTAAACAAGCTTTTAGAAATCTCCAAGGATCAGTGGTTATAGTTAAGATAACAAGGGTGCAACACATTAAATTTTACTACAAAGCTATTCATTTTTGGAAATGTGAAAGACAAGAACAAATAAGAAAATTGTACAATTCAAAGGCACACCTATTACATAATTTTTCATTTTATTATTTTCTGAATAATATTCTGGCTTTATCTTCTAGTGGGGAAGATATTTTTGGGAGTAGTTTTGATCTAAATATTTTTGTGATTCTACTATACTTATTGAACTGAAAAAACAAATTTAAATGTGTATACTTATTGTAATAATATTTTTTCTTGACATAATGAAATCTTGATCGTATTCCTAATAAATAAGACAAATTTTTTTAAAATAGTACAAGAATAGCATATTTATGTTTTAGTATAGTAATTAGGGAGATCTGACATCTAAGTTCCATAAAGCTAACTAAATAGGATTACACATTTACCATCTAAAAATAAGGTAATAAAAACACACTAAAAATCTTAAAATCCATTAATTGCACTTGACTTATTGCGATTGTTAACAAAATAATATTTGAAAACGAGAGGCGAGGATTTCAATATTTTTAGAGCACAAAACAAGCGGGTTAATTTTGGGAACGCTTGCCAAAATCATACATTCATGCAACAATTAAAACACAACACATTTTTTTTTTTTTCAGAAGATGTCCCTATTAATTTACAACTAAGTGAACAAAACAATTAATGATACTAATATTAGTTAATACTAAGTTAATAACAAAATTATTGTAACAAATAACACATACAGGGGTACACACTATTTTACTTTATTTAGGTTTATACTAATAAAAATTGATTAAAGATAAAATAAACTAAGTGACTTAAAAAGGTTAATTTTATGGTACCCGCTGAATGTTCCTAGTTTGCCTTTGTTTTAATTAATTAGGAAATTTATGTTAAAAATATCTTAATTACTGAGATCAATGACTTAAGGAAAATGGTTGACGAGTAGCAAAATTTGGCTTGATGAGATTTTTTTACTGAATGCGTGAATAGTGGAAATGTTGATGCCTTTCATGGTAACTCTAATGGTCAAAAAATAGACCAACGCAGAATTTCTGGAAGCAGACCAAGTTAAATGTAGATAAGTAAGCGCCAAGATTTTTGTAGATCCACCTATAATTATAGCTAAAATGAAACCTAACTCAAAGTCATTTTCATTAAATAGTGGTTTTGAGAAAACTACCGGCTGCATACTTTCAATCATTAGATTTTCCTCAAGAGAAATTCCTTTAGTTGGTACTTAGTAATTTTTACTAAAGAAGAAAATCCAATGAACTGACAAAGAAGAATCAGTTTTCTAAAATGGCTATCTAAGAACAATTCCGAGGGAACCTTGGCTACACATTATTTGATTTGCAGACTTTCAAACATGTTAAGAGGTAGTTAACTCATGAAGCAAATATAAAAACACAGATACACACAAATCCAAAACTCAATAGTAAACATGCAAATTTTACATACATAGAGTTGAATGTTTTTTTTTTTCTTTCTTTTTTTGGTTTTGGTGTGTAAGTAAGGCATATCTGTTTTCAAAAGCAATTGATATTGGTATTTGTGGCGTGTTAATTTAAAACCTACAATTACTGGTATTTTGTGTATAATCTATTTTTAATTTTCTACAATTTTAAGAGTTTTTTACATCAATCTATATTTTTTTACACATTTAATTTTTTGAGAAATACATAAATTTTGTTTGATAAAATTTGAATAAGCTGATGAGGGGAAAAAAATGCTGCTTTGGCAGTTTGAGTTTTTGTAAATCAAGCACAGACAAGAACTAGAACTAAGAAACCGACACACTTGAGCATAATTATTAATTAGGTAGTTTTAATCAGTACAGTACAATCTACTATCTCTACTACCACACAAAATCTATGCAACAATTGCTTTTTGAAAGACAGAGACAAGAGTATACAATTCTAAGACATTTATTGCGGAGGCCTTTAAAGCATGTTTTACACTTATACAAACAAATGAAAGAGCTGTTATTACGATTTGTATGGGGGAATAGATGTGAAGCATTTTTTTTTTTTGTGCTCGAATATTGAAAAACTACATGAAAAATATATATCAAATAAGATTTTGAATGCCTGTAAGCCTATCATAACAAATGCCAAAAACTAACAAAAATACAGACATAAGTAACTTAAAATTGGCCTTTATCAAAGATGCCAAATAGAAAACTATTTACCACTAAAAATGAGATGGACAATTCCCCAAGGTGTCCAATACAAATCGCCAAGATATTAGCTAAACACAGAAGAAAAAAATACCAAACACAACAAACATTATGTATTGATTTCTTTGCAAATAATAATAATAACTGATTAATCTACATTTACTGGCAACAGTGGCAACTAATGGCACCTCAAGAATATTTCCACATTTCTTACTTGTACATTTAATTGGGAATGGAGGGGGGGGGGGAATGACGACTACTATCTAGTGCAATTTTGGGCTTGAAAGCGGTAGTCATTCTCATTCACTATTGGTGAAGTAGTCCGAAGCGTTGCCTCGGCAAATAGGGCATGTTCGGTTAGACTGTAAAAAAATACAAAATAATTATTCAATTAGATTTCTGATAAATATAATGATATACTATATTTATATGAAGCTTGGAATCAAAAGTTAAAACAACCAGATGTGTTGTGTAGATTAGTTTGAGAGTGGACATGAGTTACAGTGGCTTCAGCCACTCAAATTTATGATGCATTCATTCTCAAAAGTTTTATAGTCCATGCGGTTCACGAAAAAACGTAGCAAATTGGGTTAAAAGCATGAAACTTGGCAGGGGTGTTTTTTAGACTATTTCGAGTGATAAGACCCATAGCACCTCAAATTTCATCCCTTAGGAGGGTGATGTAACCCCATATATTTATTATACTACGTATATCGCGGGTTGGTTTGAATTCTTGAAGCAAACATTATGAGATAGAACGATGCCTTCTTTGTCTAAAGTGAACTTGTTTTTCCAATGCGCATGCGTCAATTTGAAGTTATTCCTCCAATAAGATTTCATTTTGAACAGCTGATATTGCAGGGTTGCCAATAAAATTATTTTCATCTTCAAGTTATTTACACATTCACAAGAAACATGACGAATTTTGTATTTTGGTGCGTGTAACACATACTCGATTTCGACAAATAAACCAATATATTCATTTTTATTAGTGTTTTGGAATCAAAATACAATCGACCAAATTATAACCTCAAAAAGTGATCCTGATTCATTGTACTTTTTAGCTTGACATGACAACACGGCACGAAAAGCTTGATGCAAAATGGCAACCGCCGGCCAATAAGAATCTAGAGTTTAACGCAAGCGCAGTTCATAACCTCGTTCTCCTTCGTTTGACAAAGATAGACTTATGCAAGATCATATAACTTTATCTCTCTTTGTTTGCTTCAAAAACCGCACATTGGGTAAATGGGGAAGGCGTAATATACCTTAGTATAATAGGTATATGTGTAACCCCTATTTTATTTTTAAAGGGTTAAAATTACCAAAAACGTCTTGTCATCAGATTATTCCAATATTGGTGTCATTTTATACCAATTTAAATATGAGAAATTTAAAAATAAGAATACCTCATCTTCATAGGACCCAACGGTAGCTGTGTTATGGCTCTATTGCTGTCATATTTGACATGTGTCAAAAACATAGTTTAGACCTGTCTAAACAAAAATAATAGCGATTTATAGAATTTGGCATGAGAAATCCAAAAAAAATATGTTTCGAATCTATACAAGTCACCGATACAGCTCTACAGCAACGGCAGTAATGAATATATTGCGTCACACAGAAAAAAATATCTAAAATAAGCTGCCTTTCTATTCGAAGCGGATAATTCATTGATATCTCGAGCTGCAGGAAAGGAAAAAAAAATCAATACTTATAGGATAGGTCGTTCTGAGTGTAGTTTACCTCTTATCACTGCATTCCTCATTACACTGCTTGCAGGCAAGCGTGCAGGGCAATTCACTTTTTCTGCAGGAGCAACGCATTGTGTCACATGGTGTGCTGCACCCACATGTATTGAGTGATCACCATGCCACCCAAACATGCGATTCTTTCGACTACAATGGTTTCCACTTGCCCCCATCATCTCTATATATCCCCAGGTACACTTGGCCAAACATAAAACTGGTACAGGCAATATATATATTTTAAATTTGCCTAGTGTGAGTCAAGCTTAATAACAAAAAGTCTGTTCTGAAAAACAAAGGCTAGACAGATTTTGTCAATGTCAAAGCTAAACAAAAATAAATACATGTTTTTTTCTACAAACGTGTTAAAAATGCAATTTTTAACACCCCCTCGAAGCATTAAAAATGTTACTTTATTGCACTAGTCTTAAAAGTCTTTAAGGCACTAGAGTTAAAAATGAAACATCAAAATTTGAAAGCAAACGCCAAAAAAAGTTTTTATTTTTAATTATTTACATTAATATTAATGGTAAAATTTGAACAACTGAGGAAGCTCCATCGGCCGCCTCCTCTATATTTTTCAAGGGATTGATGCAACCCTCTTTTTCTTGTGTATTTTGTTGCATTTTTAGCAAAAAGCTTACTGACCACGATAGACCATACGACAGACTTTCAAGAATCTGACGAGACATTTCATTACCTGTAAAACAAGGTGCTGGTTGTTTGATTTTTTTGACAAATATCAAATTCAATAATTTTACGTAGGAAAGATGCTTCCAATCTATTATTCATTTAAAAATCCAATTTGTCACTGGTTATTGCTTGTTATTGCCGTTTCACATGCGTGCCTTAAAAATGTACTCTTAACACTTATATCATAAATAGATATGTTATGATTGGTTAAAATATGTTGAGGTGATAAAAAAGGTCGATTTACACAATAAAACACAATAGGAAAATGCGTACCAGTTTTAGGTTTGGCAAAGTGTACTTGGAGCAGAGGAAGACCGTGTTGGTGTGTCTCCTCCGCTCTACCCCAAATGTGATCCGCCTGGTAAGGCTGTGCTAATGTGTACTCATGTAGAGCCGCTGCAGTTGGTGGAATGAGCGTTAGTAGGCTGTTTTCGACCGCAAATAAATATTTTTTGGCCTTATTTAACTCATTAGACTGAACATGATAGAGACCTACTAAAATATGTTTTTTTTTTAAAGATAAAAGTCAAAATGACATTATGTTGGCAATACAATGTAAAATTGTCAATGCTTTCATAGTTATTTATGATATAAGTGTTAAAAGTACATTTTTAAGGCACGCATGTGAAAGTTTGCAGAATGAGCGAAGCGAATTCTGCAATTCACATAAGTGCCTTAAAAATACTTTTAACACAAATATCATACAATATTTTTTCTACAAACGGCAATAACAAGCAATAACCAGTGACAAATTGAATTTTTAAATGAATAATAAATTGGAAGCATCTTTCCTACGTAAAATTATTGAATTTGATATTTGTCAAAAAATTCAAACAACCAGCACCTTGTTTTACAGGTAATGAAATGTCTCGTCAGTTTCTTGAAAGTCTGTCGTATGGTCTATCGTGGTCAATAAGTTTTTTGCTAAAAATGCAACAAAATACACAAGAAAAAGAGGGCTGCATCAATCCCTTGAAAAATATAGAGAAGGCGGCCGATGGAGCTTCCTCAGTTGTTCAAATTTTACCATTAATATTAATGTAAATAATTAAAAATACAAACTTTTTTTGACGTTTGCTTTCAAATTTTGATGTTTCATTTTTAACACTAGTGCCTTAAAGACTTTTAACACTAGTGCAATAAAGTAACATTTTTAATCCTTCGAGGGGGTGTTAAAAATTGCATTTTTAACACGTTTGTAGAAAATAGTTATTTATGATATAAGTGTTAAAAGTACATTTTTAAGGCACGCATGTGAAAGTTTGCAGAATGAGCGAAGCGAATTCTGCAATTCACATAAGTGCCTTAAAAATACTTTTAACACAAATATCATACAATATTTTTTCTACAAACCGTAATAAAAAGCAATAACCAGTAACAAATTGGATTTTTAAATGAATAATAAATTGGAAGCATCTTTCCTACATAAAATTCTCGAATTTGACATTTGTCAAAAAATCTATACAACCAGCACCTTGTTTTACAGGTAACGAAATGTCTTTTCAGTTTCTTGAAAGTCTGTCGTGGTCAGGAATGCTTTTTGCTAAAAACGCAACAAAATACAGAAGAAAACGAGGGTTGCATCGATCCTTCGAAAAATATAGATGAGGCGGCCAATCGGGCTACCTCAGTTGTTCAAATTTCACCATTAATATCAATGTAAATAACTGAAAATACAAACTTTTTTTGACGTCCGCTCTCAAAATTTGATGTTTCACTTTTAACACTAGTGCTATAAAGACTTTATGGCACTAGTGCGATAAAGTAACATTTTTAATGCTTCGGGGCGGTGTTAAAAATTGCATTTTTAACACGTTTGTAGAAAAAAAAATTTATGTAGAAAAGGCTTGTGTTGCCAACATAGTTACTAAATTTTTGACTTGGGGAATTAACTTTAAAAAAAAAACAGACTTTACATATTTTTATTTCGAGTTCTCTATGAACATCGTCTTTTAACTAATCGCAGGGGAATGATATTGCTCGAAATGCGGATGTTGTTTCCTCAGTCCAAGCTTTCCAAGTAGATCGCTTTCTTTTTGATGAGAGAAATGATATGGTGTCACAGCCAGTAATAGCATGGAAACCGATTATACTACTACTTATTTATGTAGTGTCTTGTAAATTAAAAAGACTCAATACCCAGTTTAGTGCTAAAATAAACAAACATTCCAAAGGAAGAAAAACTAACTTATCGACATTGGTGTTTTATTGAATCGTCCTGAAAATACTGCTTCGCTTCAAAAACTTTAAAATAAGTTTTCGTTTCACATAGTATAATGGCATGTTTTGCAAATGGTCGCCATTTTTGCAAGCATAATTTCAGAGTGTTTTTAATTTTCAACACTGTGTTTTGTGTGGTGACCTGTCATTCAGAAGGTGACGTTCCATCATTGAAAAGTTGAATCGTTCAGCAGAACCAAGAGTTTACCCAACATATTCTGTTGGTATTTGTAAACTGTTTACAATCGGTTTTGGTTCTGGTGAACGTAGCCATTATTGAAAAGAGCACCAACAATCCGCGACAGCCTATCATGATTAATATCACATTCGCCCGACACAGCATTGAAAACAGCGCACATGAGATACATCAGGCTTTGTGATAAGACGTTAGATCTGGCTGTGCACAGATGAAATGTCCGACTATATCTGCCCCTAATGCGTGGAACATGAAACAACACCTGAGTGGCTAGGTATGGGCAGTCTATAAATATGATGCAAGTAGAGATGGCCCTGAGAATATTCTCCAAAGAACTTCTAGTGAGAACAGAGAATTTACCGAGAATATTCTTTGGACTTAAATTCTCGAGAATTTATAATTTTTTTAGGTTCAAGAATTTATGAGAAGATACGGTTATTTTCGAGAATTTATGAGAAATTACCAGTAATTTTTAAATTTATCACCTTGTACTTACAGATAGCACTAGGTTCGTAGTGAGTTTAGGTTGAAATGAAAAACAGAAAACAGTGAGTCCAGGTAAATCCGGTAAATCCCCCGAGTCCATAGGCGTTTTCGATTGGTAGATTAGATCTAATGCGCACTGGTGCCATTGAGTTCTGAGTGTATTTCCAGCTCTTTCTCTCAGCCTGTTAAAGAAATAGATAGAAACACATTTTCTTTGCACTAGGTATTTCTACCAACTGGAAACGCCATGGCCAGCCATAAGTTATTTAATTGTCCCTGCACTGTGCAGAATGCAACGTGTGTGCGAAGAAATATTTAATTATCAACTTATTTAGGCCCGGTTTACTACTTACTAGTACTATCTGCAAAATAAATTTACCGTTCTAGGATTATATTGGTCGGCGGATAACTGGCCGACCAATGAGATTACAGATTGCGTTTTTATCTGTCAGATTGCACACCTGACAGTTTATCAGAAGATGAATAAACCGGCCCTTACTATTAGTTTTGACTATTTTTGAGGGAATCCCTTCGAAAATGAAACCGTGAGGTTTGATATGGAAACATTTCAGACAAAAAAAGAACTACAAAATTTCTATGTCAATTTTGTGCATCAGAAAAATGCAAAAAGCCCCAAATGATGTTAAGAAGCTACATTCTTCGAAATTCTCCAATGTTTCCGAATATTCTCCAAGAAAATTCTCTCAAAATATCTCTAGATGCAAGAGATTATATAAAAACCTCACTGCCTGAGCCTTTCTTCGGTCGGCCAAAGATTGAACGCTGAATCGCTCAAGCAGCTGATCTTGATCAACGCCCCTTGGGGGACACCATCTACCTTAAATGCTAAATGTTCAAGAAATAGTCTCTGGGCGGCTTCAATCGTTTTAACATGACAATCATATATAGGACTCCACACAATTGCACCATACTCAAGCTTTGACCTTACAAAAGTGTAATACAAAAGTTTAAAGGTAAATAGATTTGAAAAATGTCTGCTGTTTCTTAAGTCTGCCTCACAAGCGCTTTTGCGCCACATCAACTGTTCTTTAACACTCTTGTAAAATTGCATGTGTTTCGGGGTTTTGTCTGAGGCAACTGTAAGATGCCTAAGCCGTGGGTTGTTCCTAATTTTGTAGCACTGCTTCAAAACACCGACGACAGTGCCAATGTCTTTGCACCATATTTTCAAAGGACGTGGACGGCTGGTAGAGTTTTGAGCACGGCAGGGACGCGATACGTGCAAAATATTTGATAAGTCAAACGCTGGACACACACTTTGTAGGATACCACCAGCAGATTCCATATCGTCCTCCTCCCCTGACGTGGGTTCAGGGTGACCAAAAACAATAATATTATTCTTACGTTGCTCGCTGTCACAGAGTACTCCTGATAAAACTCTGCACTTTGATCGGTCCCAGAGAGGCCATTTCGCTTCTTTAGTTTATTCTCTACAGCAAGCATTCGAGTATTTATGTTGTCAATCTCTCTCTGAAGTTTATTATTTACTTCAAGTTGTTCATTGTATTGAGGACAGTTTCTCGAGAGGTAGACATGTCTATGGCAAGAAATGTATATTTTGCGCTGATTGACTCTCATTTACGGTATGGAGTCTGTTTTTGGGGATCGTGTTCTGATCACCTGTTTAACTCAGTTTTTATTCTGCAGAAGCGAGCTATTAGGTTCTTATGTAAATTAAATATCCGAGAATCCTGCAGACCTTATTTTTTGTCGCTCGGAATATTAACACTGGCATGTATATTTATATTGGAATCAGTCTGCCTTACGCATGACAAGTTCCACAATGAGATCCTGACTGCTGGGGCTTATGCAACTCGGTCATCGCACATTGCTCCTCTACCTATCCCCTTAACAACGCTAGTAAAAAAATCTGTTATCTATAATAGTAAAAAGCTTTTTAACCACCTGCCTTCTAATGTCCGTGAGATATGCAACAAAGAGCAATTTAGGGGGAAGGTAAAGAGGATACTGGTTGGGAGGGCTTACTATTCGGTTGCTGAATTTTTCAGTGATACTTTTGCTTAGTGTCTTTTCGTTTACAGTTTAGTTTGTCTTATATTTTACTCACTGACTTATTACTTTATACATGTCTAGTATTTAAGTATGTTACCTTTAATGTCTTTTAATGTGTTATTTTAATCTATGTAGTTTATTTTATAAGAGTATTTTAGCAGCACAGTCTTGTTTCATTTTATTTGATGATTTTTTTTTTTTTTTAATTTTAAGCCTGTATTTGCTACAACTTTTATTTTTAAGTTTGCTTTGATAAAGAGATGTTATAATTCTTATATCAATAAAGCTATTTTTGACTTTGACTTTGACTTTGTACATTCTGGCCAATTTCTTACGTTCCAGTTTCCATCCTATCAACCTTGTTCATAATATCCAGTAATGTAAGGTCGCCTGGGTTGCGCTCTGGCTGTACGGACGATGGCACAGGAGAGAGCGATTTGCGATTAGCTTGAGATTTTTGTACCTCCACTCTTAGGCACGAAGGACAATTCCAGCGATCACCTCGGGATTTCTTTAATTTCATTTCAAAATTGTTAAGCTGAGCTACAGACAGATTTTGCGATCTGTTGTCTATTAATTACAAAATTTAAATTAAATTCAGCGCCTAACTATAACCTATTGCTAATAAAGTGTGATAATAATAACCACTACATGAAACACTACCATTGGATTCTATGAAGATAGGATTTTTTTTTTATGTATAAAATATGAGGTGCTGTGGGTCAAATCACTTCAAATAGTCCTAAAAACAACTCGGACAAGTTTCATGCCTTTAACCCAATTTGCTACATTTTACCCCATTTTGATAGTCTACCGCATAGACTATTAAAGTTGAAGGGATTAAGGGATACTATCCAGTAAATTTCAAACTTAATTACATACTTCATAATTTATCACACTTACCCTGAGCCATTTATCAATGCACTTAGCATGAAACTCGTGCGAACATGGAAGCACACGGAGCATTTGCCTAGCTTCAAAATCGCACATGCATACCACACAAGAGGTTTGATCGCCCTCGTGCGTTTCAGAGTTGTATTTGTAACTGACCAGCTGTTCGATTTCTAGTTTAGCCAAACCTCTGGGTTTAGCTTCACCCAATTGTTCTGCCAAATTCAATAAAGCTTCGTAATTCTGCAACAATTTAATACGTTGATACATTTATCTCGAGTATTTTTATAATGATGTTACCTCAGTCTCAGTCGTATCGGAACTGCTCAGATCAGTCTGGCTAAACGGCGACATAGGCGGATTTGAGAACATAGCTAGGAAATGAAGCAGGAAGGGATAACGTGCTGGAGTCATAATAGGATTATGATGCCAGCGATGAGCACGGGGTGGTGCTAGTCTAGCAGAATGATGGGGCGGTCCACGTTGACGTAATAATTCTAATGGACCTCCACGAGCTTCAGATAAGAAAAGAGAAGCTGCCGACGCAGGTACCTAAAGTTTTACGTGTTATAGTTGAACCATTGCTAATCTAAATGACTAATAAGGTTTTTTAATAAATTATGAATGGATTGTTGCTTTTCAAGAAAATAATTTGCCCTTCTTGATGCATAGACCAAAAGTAATATTTTTAATTCATCAAATTTCACATAAGTTCAGGGTTAGTTTCGGTTTTTATAAAGAAACAAAAATATTCCATGTTGACACCCATTTTTGTTGATTCTTTTCGATATCATTCAAAATATATTTCAAAAACTAGTTTAAAATGTTTAAAACATACTTGATGAATTTGGGGCACATGTAAAGAAGGATGGGGCGTCAAATGAGCTTGATGGGCGTCACCACGTTGCAACAATTCAAGATCCGTCAGCTCTGGACGTGATCCCAAGCCATAGTGCTGGTGATGACCAGGTACAGCGACTGGAGCTGGAGCAGCCGCAAAAGGTGGCGGAGCTAAACATCCTGCTAGAGGTGGTACTGGAGGAACCAAAGGAGCACCTATGAAAAAAAAACCATATACATATTTTAACTTGCGAGTGAAGGGCTTTGATCTCTTGCTGCTACATATAATATACTTAGTACATAAAAAAAAACTATGAGATACTTACTGTACATGTGGCCATGGACATGGCACGAGTGCAGATGTGGAGGAGCTCCAGGTGGAGCGGCACATAAAGAAATATGCGGTGCACCGGGTGTGTAACCCCAAACTGCAGCAGTTGGTCCATCATGGTGGTGATGATGGTGGTGGTGGTTTATTGGAATAGTCACAGGCACCTGGTTAATGCAAGAAAATTACAATTCTAAAATGTTTTCAAATAATTGGCAATAACCATACATACACTATAAGCTGAAGTAAATAATTAGGAGTCTATTCTGTGATGTAAAACAAGTAAAGTATATGGCCGGTGGCACAAGGAAGTGTCTTGGGCCGGTTAGTTTGATAACTTTTTATTATAAAGGCCAAGGATATCTTATTCTGCTTGAACATGCAAGCTCAAGTTGCTGTTAACTTGTTCTTTTTGCAAAATAAGAGTTCACATGTAATTTTGTGAATTTCACTGGCACACAGTAAGTGGTTTAGTAAACTCACCTGATTAAGATCAACCATAACAGCATTTTGATGTGGATGCGGATGAGTTACAGGTGGCGGACTTGGAATAAACTGCTGATGATGATTGTGGGTAAAATCATTTCTATCCCGATTATAGCGAGGCCTCCTTAATGGTGGGCTACCCTGTTTAACAAATCATTTGTATAATTATCAAATTATAAAATCAGAATTAGCAGTTTCTTTGACAAATACCACAATCACAATCAATAAATTTAAGATTCAGTTATTACCTGCATTTGATGGTGTGATGTGGACGGTGGGTGTTGCCTGGGTGACCTTCTTGGAGGTGAAGGGGGACCTACGACTTGTAAATCTAAATGATGCCCTGATCGGGACAAACGTCTGCGCTTACGCGAAGGGCTCTCGCTTTTGATACCATCATCACTGGCTTGTCTGTAGTACTGAGGCGACTGTTGCTGGAAATGAACTGGAGACACAATAACATCTACAGAAGAAACCATATTAGTACATATTGAGTGAAAATATTGAATATATTACCTCTGGGTGACCTTCTTTGTGAGAAATCCATCATACCTCTTGGATGAATATTCTCAGATGGTCCTGTATTATTGTCACAAATGTTGATGTGCAATGGCGGAGAAATGTGGCGTCTATCAGCTAAACCTGGCATGAGCCTTCTGTCATTGACATTGTGGAAATTCCCTTGAATGTTGAGCCTTCTTTCGGGAGGATTTGGAAGTAGGTTGTGTCGTCTGTCTTGATGTTGATGTCCTGTTAGATTTTAAGATAATTTTCAAATTTACTACCTCATTACAAGCAAATGATTTATATTTAGAAGTGAAAAAGAGATTAGGCAAAGCAAATAAAACAGCTGAGGAGGCTATTTGTATCCTAACCAAGTACACCTAGTAGCAATTATTGTGATGGCTCAATCAATCGTTGATCATTATATCATGTTTGAAAAACTTTGTCAATTGAATAGAATGCTCTTTTGGTTAGGTAAAGTCTATATGTAGGTACAATCTATCACTATAGCCACCGCTTTATGGTGCAGGCAAATTTATCACCTTTCCCTATCAAATAGCATTGAAAGGTGATTTTACCTGTACCTACCTGTGGACATCAGATTGTGAACGGATAATAGTTTAGGCATACTTTCTGGGTTACGCAAAGTAATCCTATAAAACAGCTACAATAACATAAACCCTATCAGAAAGCAGTTCATTGTTTTCTTCACTGAAAATAAGAGTGGTGTTATCTGCGTATATGGGAAATTTGGATTCGTACTCGCTTATGCCAAAAAAGAATGTACGTGATTGGGAGAGATAGTCCATATAAGCCCCCCCAAATGGCAGTGCGTTTCTCAGATATCATTCGACCACCCCAAAATAATAATGCCTAGCAACAGTTGTACCCAGAAGAAAACATTGAAACCAAAACCAAGGTTTCCAGCCTGGACAAAGCTGCTTAGAACCGCACCTCCATATTATATTTATTAAATCAGATGTAACAACATTGGTGTGCCTCTCAGATTCCTTTTTGGCATTACATTCATAGAAAGATTTCCCACTGCCAAAGTAAATGTCCCTTTACATTAGTTTTAATAAGTTCATTTTTATATTAGAAACAATAAAGGTGTAATGACCGATCCATGTCGAGAAAAATTTAATTTAATTTTGGGTGTGGCCAGTATAGGATTGAAGTTCTAATTTTCATGACAAAGAGAAATTTACATTATCTAGTTATTTCTGGTAGGTAGAGGGAAACAGAACAAATTAATTTCTAATATTAAATAGAAATGTTTAGACGATCACAGGAAGAAGAAACTCCAGCAGCCTATTATTTGGAAAAATAGAATCAGCTCAAATTTCTGGAGCGTCGCCAAATTCAGAAGCAAGTTTTATGTTTCTTGTTTGTAAATTATTATCAAGGATCCTATTATTGATCAGTACACTCTTGAAGCCTTTACATAGGTCTGTACATTTTTTGATCCCTAGAGAAAAGTGATAGTATCAACTGGGAAGAATGAAGAAAAAACTTTTTGGGACAACCTAGGCATCTCAAAGTTGAGTAGCAGGTACCAGAAGTTACCGCACCCTTATGCCTTTTTTAGTGGGAGAACCGGAAAATATCATTTATTATTAATCAATACTATAATCAATGGTCGATCATAAGATATTAGAATTAGAAATACCTGTAGAACTGTGGTGCAGCTTCCTATTATGTGAGGTTTGATACTCGCATCTATATTACCAGACATTGTGCAAGCCTGTGCCTTCCATCAACACAACAACCCCATTACTGATGACTTAATATACGAGAACAAACACACAAAAAAAAAAATCCAAAGATCTTGAGGAAAATAAGTAAACGAAAAGACAAAAACAACATACCATAAACCAGCAAATGATATAGAGTCAGAATTATTTACTTTCTGCCAACAACAACCAACAAACAGCTGATTGCTTGCGAGTATTGAAACAGGAGGATAGAGTTGCTGTTAAACAAAGCCGTTCATACAAAACTAAAACCGATGCATGCCATCAATTCACGAGGTTACCAAAAATCGTACTATTAGAACAAACAAATAATTAGGTACTGGTACTAGGCTGATATAAAATGTAGTAGTTTCCCTATCAGACTTTTTTTTTATTATTTTTGAATATCTTTAACAACAGGCATTAGTTAGAGAGCGTTATATTTATATAATACTGCATACGCCATGTCGATAAATGTTGTTGTTGTTGTTATCATTTATTTAGCTATTATAACTAATTATATCTTGGAGTAACATATGAGTCATCTTAAAAGTATCTATTCTTTTTTAAAAAAACACAGAAAAAACAATCAATTAACATTGCATATCAATTTCAAACACAATCATTAAATATAAAACTGGCAATACAAACAAAAAAACAAAAATGTTCTAAACCACTCAAATAAATAAAACTAAAAGTATACACTGTAATTTAATCTGTCTTATCTCTAATATATTGTCTTAAGTTTTCTTTTAAAAGTATTGATTTCTTCACAGCCTTTGACATCAATCGGTAACTGGTTAAATTCAATTAATCCCCTAACAAATAATGATTTTTTTCTACAAACGTGTTAAAAATGCAATTTTTAACACTCCCCCGAAGCATTAAAAATGTTACTTTATCGCACTAGTGCCATAAAGTCTTTATAGCACTAGTGTTAAAAATGAAACATCAAATTTTGAGAGCGAACGTCAAAAAAGTTTGTATTTTTAGTTATTTACATTGATAATAATGGTGAAATTTGAACAACTGTGGTAGCCCGACTGGCCGCCTCATCTATATTTTTCAAGGGATCGATGCAGCCCTCTTTTTTTTTCTGTATTTTGTTACATTTTTAGCAAAAAGCATTACTGACCACGACATACTTTCAAAAAACTGACAAGACATTTCATTACCTGTAAAACAAGGTGCTGGTTATTTGGCTTTTTTGACAAATGTCAAATTCAATAATATTATGTAGGAAAGATGCTAAAAATCCAATTTGTTACTGGTTATTGCTTTTTATTGCCGTATGTAGAAAAAATAGTGTATGATATTTATGTTAAAAGTATTTTTAAGGCACTTATGTGAATTGCAGAACTTTCACATGTGTGCCTTAAAAATGTACTTTTAACACTTATATCATAAATAACTATTTCTGCTTGTACAGACTGGACCCTGGGGATATCAAAATTATCCCTTGATCTCAAATTTCTTTCACGCCTCTGAGAAATGTAGTTTGTTTCTCGTTAAATATGATGACAGCAGTCCCACTCTAATTGTGAAAATAAACACCATTGTGTTGTACAAAATAAGTTCCTTTACTGAGAATCATTCCAATGCGCTTTTCATTTCACGAATAGGTGTTCTTCTCAGACTCTTGTCTTTAGTATCATCCACAATGCCTTATTTTGTAGCTTTTGCAATCTTTTACTTTCATTTTTCTGGAACAAATACAAAACTATGGAACAGTAAGTATAATGTGGTAGCACCAATGAATTGAATAGTAAAATTTTTGACCACTGAGCCAAAGAAAAGGCACATCTATACAAGAACGAGAGCTTGAAAGAAATAGTCTTTATAACATAATCAGCATGACATTTAAGTTTTAGGATTTTATCAATTAAGTCCCCCAGATATTTAAACTTTTCTACAATTTCTAGTTTATTGTTGTCAATTTTCATTTCAATGCCCTTGCTTACAAACTCCTATAATACCTGTCTGGTCCCAGTATCATACATTTTGTTTTTAGAATATTGATTTTGTATGTATTATCTTTTACTTTAGCGATATTTATCCGATTATTCCACTCATGTGTTAGAAATCCCATAAGACAAGTGACGATTTTCAGAATTACAGCGAAAATTCTCTTTTCCATTTGTTTAACTAGAGAGAATTACAGCGATAATTCTCCCATGTTATTGTATACATGGTTGTCATGCTAGTTTTTGATACAAACAAACGGTTCCTGATAGCAACCATTTATTTGTATTGATTGTTAAGATGTTCAAATCGTTTAATACATATTTATTTCCATATTTTTTGCATTCTCATACGTGAAATAATCCTCCAAATACCACTTGAGCTTTAAAATGAACCAGATAATTTTTCACTCATGCGTGTTTTCTTTGCAAATTTCACTCGTCCTACGGACTCGTGAAATTATACAAAACACGCACGCGTGCAAAATTATCGGTTATTTTGAAGCTCTCGTGGTATTATCCCCTAAAATTTTGAACCTGTTTTTAAGCCAATCAAAGACTCACATTTTCAAACGTTTCCATGGCAACCAGAATTTATCTTGGTGGATACCTGAGGGAAATTACACTGACTTTGACATAGCAAATCTGTGGATGGTAGTTTTAATTTTCAAGTCTATTAGGTTTCGAAACATTACCGTTTTGGTTTAAAATTCTATTACCGGATACCACATGTGGTCAAATTATATACAGTTTTTCTCACTAACAGCGGTACGAGCAGCGGTATCAAAGTATCAAGTGACAATGTTGGCGGGGCGGCATGGTTGAGACCATTGCATTGTCGCCAAGTTTATAGCCTTATTGCAGAGCAGCCTATGCTATAATTGTCTTTATTTTCGGATTTTCTTCCTTAGAAATTGAAAATTTTGAATTTTAATGTCTGCCCAACGATTCTAAGTTTACGGGGCAACGGTGATGGGAATGCAGTTGTAAAAAAAATGACTGATTCCATTCACAAAGTACCCAGCTGCGTGCGGAACTTTTTGGAAGTATAATATCGTATTGCAACTGGTACACGAAAATCGATAATGACCAAACCACCGCCACTGGATATTTCAATATAAATCGATATTTCAAGATGCGAGGATAAAATTACGGGAGCGCTGGCCAATAGCGAGACGTAAGCCCATTGACAACTGCTTGGTTCCCCGTGGCAACGAAATACGAAATTATTGTCATAAACTCCACCAATCAGGTTCATCCAGGCTGGATGCTTGCCAAATTGATGAAAGGTGATGCTATCTTTAGAAAATGTTTATTTTTTACAATAGACAAAATTGAATAAATCAGTAGTTATTAAAATAAGAATAGATCTAACAACCACGTTAAAATATTAAGTGTTTCATTGTTACCTATATTTTGTTATTAAAAAATGGATTTTCAAATGAACTAATATACTTCATGCCTAGTATTTTCACTTTTTTATAATTAAACGTGGCAACGTCGCACTTTTACATCCGAATTCTTTCCGTAGACTCAGAACCGCTGGCCAGACATTACTTAATCCATTTAAAATACCCAGGTTCCTTCAAAAAGCAGTGGTGCGGAAACAATACAGAATATTTACATTGTATAATCTGGTATAGTATTGAAAGTGATTATAATAATTATAGGAGAATTTCACCTTTTCATGACATCCTGAAAGGAGAAAAAAAAACTTCATATCAGAATTGGCTTAAATTTGACATAAATATTCGTTGATCGATTATCTATATCTACAATACCTATAATATTTTAGTTTTTTACGAATTAGAAAAAAAACAAATAAAATAATCAGAGCATAGAACTGACAGATTTCAAGTTCAAAACCGCCCCCTTGGAGAGGTCGTTCCACTCGTCTTCCTTGGGGTTTCTCCCCCTTCTCTGGCATTTTCTTGGTCTCCCTGGTCATCTCCTACCTCTTGGTTGCCAGTCTAACATTTATTATGGCAGTCTATTGGCTAATGTACGTGTCCAAATCATATTAGTTGGTTATTTCTGCTATCATCTTTATTTGTGTTTTTTATATCCATTATATCTTAACTCCTTTGTTTGTTATTCTATCCCTTCTTGAATCATATTAGTTGGTTATTACACTTTGGTGTAGTACTATAGATTCGTTTTCTTATTTTATTTATTGATATATTCGTCCCACAATATGCTGTTCAGTAAGGTGAGCTCTTCCTAGGTCATTTCGTTCTCTAACTGCTGTGTCTAGTGTAAGGACACATCTTGAGTAATTTTAACTCCTAGGTATATACTCGTGCATGTGGTTTGTGTTTTGCCCACCTTCCAGTACCAAATCTGTTATGATATACTTGAGAACATCGTATGCCTTGAGTTATTAACTCCTAGTCACTGGTGGAGCATAGCGTGTATAGACTGTTTTTATTTAGTAGAAGGCCCATACGACGACATTTTTCTTTCCAGGCACTTAGCACCTTCTCGGATTCAGGTATTTTGAAAAGAGTTGAAAATATGCAGCACCTCTGTTGCATACCCTTTTTTTTGAAAGTTGGTTTCCTATATTGATATTTTTTGTTGCTCGTAAAACAGCTTTACTGCTTTTATTATTTCAGTATAGTTTCCAGGTTTTCTCCTCGGTTTTCTCACATCTTCAGAATAAGGACGCTGTTATGACAAGTAAATATATAGTTTATTTTGTTTCTCTTCAGTTTTTTTTTATGACCTAGGTTAGTGTAAATATGTGGCCGGCCGTCGATCTGCCTGCTTGAAGAACTGCTTATTCCTCTGGTCGCATCTTCCGGTTAGATCTATTTATAATAACGTAGCGTAGTCTCTATACTCATCGAATTTGTTACTGCTATTCCACAGTAATCTTCACATTTGGTGTTGTCACCCTGCTTCAATAAAGTGGAGTGGATACCTCTATATTGGAATAGATAATGCTAAATCCACGATTATGGGCGTATACTTTGATTTGAGTAAAGCGTTTATTCTCATGGACCATGATATTTTACTGATAAACTTGAAGGTCCAGGTATACAGGGCATTGCATTGAATTGGATAAAGTTATTTTTAGAAAACCAAACTCAATCAGGGGAAATGAGGGGCAGAATGAATGAACAATGTTGTATACTTCCGACTGATCTCTTCACAATTTTTGGCCAAATAAATTCTACTGCTACCTTTTTTCAAATCAAATTTTGAAAAAAGCGAATATGGGACATACATCCAATGTGGTTCTATTATCCTTAATCTCAAAATTTATAGCAAGATCGACAGGCAGAATTATCTTACGCTTAAGAAAAGTGTTCTAACTTAGACAATAATAAATTCAAGTTACTTTCTGTGGAGCGATAAATACGAACTGTTACGGATTCAGGGTGCTCTAAAAACTCACTTTAGCAACAAAAAAAAAATTTATTAAACAAATCGACTTTATAGAATTCAGTTACCACTTATCGCTTTTGTTAAACTGTAAACAACAAATCTGTTATTTAAACTGACTTGCGAGATTATAGTTTTTATAGAGGACATTGTATCCCCTGACCTCTCTAAAAAAACTATCCTACATGAATAGAATAGAATAACTCCTAAAAGTAAGCAACCTTGGGTTCGTAAACAATAACAAATACAATGCTATGGTGGCTCTTGGCAGGGTAATTCTGTACCTAATAATAGACATGAAACAAGCTTCAGCCTTATCAGAGTAAATAATAGATTGATCATTGAAGTTGTTGCTCAACTAAAAAACCGTCAACGCCACAAAAATGAAATTCACTCACATGATTATAATTAATTCTACAAAATTTAAAACCACAGAATAACAAACATGTGTGCTTAGCGTAGAACAAGAAGACAAAAAGGCCATCAGATTTGTTTTTCAAATTATTGACTTATTCAAAAGCATAATCAAAATGCTTGTGTCAAGCGAGTACTTACCTAGACCTTCACCAGAGTAATGTAGATGATTATTTCTAGAAGAAGGGCTGAGTTGGGTATTCTTTGGATAACCATGACCATAACCGGTTTCTTTGGGGCTATTAGGTGCTACGGAACATTCACTGGAAAACAAAATAAATAATAAAAATTTGCAATTGCATGGTATTGGCCTAAGTGTCATTCTGACTCTCATATAGATTAGAGTTTTTCTGAGAGGTTACCTTGATGTGGAATAAGTATTAGAACATTATGAGTAACTAAGAAACACAATAAATGATGGTTTATTTAAGAAATCTGGATTGGTCCATACTGACCATACTCATTACCAATCTCATTACTGAAAAGTGAAAACTTCTCAGAAAATGGGGTCAATAATGAGATAATAATGGTATTACTCTTGGCATGTCTAAAATTGTATTTAATGGGCAAACCGTTTCAATTTTACAATGACAATTTTGTAGGGAACATTTTGTCTGTATTGCTTTAGGTCGGATAGGTACACATGTTGAGAATAGGTTAATTTTTCTTTATGACAAGATTGATCTGAGGGAACTAACTATACCAACCAGGTTGTTGTTATGTATATGAACAGAGTAATATTTCAAAAGGCGCTTTAAAATAATGTACATTTATTTCGTTCGGGTTTTTGGGAATGTCCAGCTCAACGGTGGTATTTACGATATTGCCAAGTTTACCGTTTCTAAGATGTTATTTGTGCGTGATGTAACTCAATTTTTTTAAATAAAAGTCCCACGTTATTTTCATTGTAATTCATTCAGCATTCCAACATTACTAAAAGCCCTAAATGCCAAACCACCATTTGACTTGGTTTTTGAAATATGGCAACACGGAGTTTTTATTGAAATGTATGGAAACGAGTCTTGCATTTCAGAAGAGGCGAAAAATTTGAAAATGCAAATTCAAGATTTATAGAGAGCTGGTAGGAAATATTGTACATTTTTCTAAAGCCTGTTCAAAAATATGAGACCATTTCTATTATTTTGACGAAAAAGCTGTGTTGCCATATTTCAAAAACCAAGACCAATGGAGGTTTGGCATTTAAGGGTTATATGGCCGTTTGCACCGACCATTTTAAGGAAGCCTTAGCGATAAGTATTCCTTAAAATGACATTTTAACATGGAGAAATGTCACTTTAAGGGATGCTTATCGCTAAGGCTTCCTTAAAATGGTCGGTGCAAACGGCCATTAGTAATGTTGGACGCTGAATTAATTACAATAAAAATAAAGGGGGACTTTCTCATTAAAAAAAAAAGTTACATATTACATAGGGCATCTTAGAAACGCAAAACTTGGCAACATTGCAAAAACCACCATTGAAAGGGGCATTTTTCAAAAACCCTCAGGACGTCTATTGTTGAAACCAGGGAACAGTGTTCTCATGAGAGCGATTGAGCTGTCTTTACTCTCTGTCAGTGGTCAGTGTTGTGGAAATATCGAGGGAAATATAATTATGGATGACAAAGACAAAACCTTTGTTCTCATGAGAACGCTGCTCCCCTGTCTCGAGAATAAGGACCCAGGTAGGAATAAATTGTAAATACATTTTTATTAGGCGGGTTCTGAAATATTGGACCTTTTCCAGACATAACGACAACCCTGTATTATTTATTCATATTCCGTAATTCCAATTCCATTCTCATTGGCAACTGCTATGATGAATATTTAGATTTAGATGCAACTTTTTGTTTGATAACTGCCTGAAAAGCTTGGAATCGGTTAGGGGTCACAAAAACAATGTAAGTAATTAAACTCTGAATAATTTATCACAAGACATCTTTCCTAGTTAATTAGTATTAAAATCAATTAAACAAAAAATGTTGACTTTTTCTAATTTTCCTTCAACTTGCAACATAAATCTAAATTACCATATAAAACCATAGATAATTAGTCATTGGCTTCAAGGAATCCTTATTTGTGGAACCCTGAGGTGGAAGTGGTGGAACCCAAAACTTAAGCACTTATTAATTAATAAAAAAAATACTTACCCTCTATTAAAATTAGGTTCATATTCTCTATTGTAATCTTTGTTGTATCTATTTGGCCATCTCTGATGATTATGGGGGTGATTAGACCTGTTTGAGTGATTATTAGCATGTCTATTAAAGCTATTAGAGTTTTTGCGTGCTTGATTGTGGTTGTTCGAATTCATTACTTAATTATGTTTAAGGCAAAGTCAAATACCCGTTGCAATAATTATGGCAAACAATATAACAACCTTGTAGGAAAGGTACACAATCACTTATTGAGCAAGGAAAATGACTAATTTTATTATTTGCTCAGCACTATTGATCCACATAAGGCATTTTTAACTACTCGTAGGCTTCTGGGAACTTAAACACTAGGCGTACGCGACTAATGGAAGGAAAAGCTCACGATTATACATAACGATTGAATCGAAAATTAAAAGATAAATACATTTCTAGGTAGAGAACAAAAATTATTTTCAGACAGACCACACAACTTCTGTCTGTCTGTTGTGAAATCAGCCACAAACACCCTATACGCCCCCCACCCTAAACTTTTTTTGACATTTTTACTAATTTATAAAATGTCAAATATAGCATGTAGCATATTGCCGTCTTTGTCTGTATTTGTGCTTGAACAGAGACAGAACCATTGCTGAGCCATTAATGCGTGAAACGAATGCCAATGTAATTTATGACGATTTCCATTTTTATTCCTTTTCTTGATTTCTAGTTAAAATTTGTATTGTTTTTGTGCATCTATAATTATTATACTTATACTATACTATTAATGGATAGATATTTATAGTTTAAATCATCAATGACCTCTTCTTTTTTCTCGCTTGGCTCTACTTCGACTTTAATCGAGTGTCGATTCACGATTGTCTAACAAATACTCGTAACCGTATCGTCGTAACTCGATTGACGAGATGATTCATGTGTTCGTCACTCAAGGATAATATACACTTCTAACAGGATCGCTTGTCGGCCTCGTTTTTGGGAATCGCGGCCATACTGTGTAGCACCATTTACGACGTCATCAACTACGTCGTCAGCTGCTTGCGCCAGCGGTCGTAGTTTACAATTGACAATACAGTCACTTTTTCTCCTCTACACGATGCTACCATCAAAAGCCGTTTTCCCAGCTAACCATTTTGAGCACGCAATCGAGCTTTTGCGCGCGCAAATGCTTCAAGCGCGTGTTCGTGTTCCAGCCGTAATGAGCTTCGAGAGCTGCTAACTTTTGCGTTTCAAACACAGAACACTGTGCTGCACCGTGTTGAAGCACACAGTTTGAGTTCGGGCTTGAGCACTTCAGGTGCAACAAAGGCTGAGTTCGGCTTTGCACTCCACAGAGCGAAACGGTATGAGCATGGATATCGTGACGTGATACGCGATCATAAGCCCAACGCAGAAGAGAACGCTCTGAGAGCTAAAACGAACAGGATCTTATCGTTTCGAGTGCTATCAAAGTTTACAGAAGGTCTGTTCTGATAGCAATCACAAACCAGTCAGAGCGTATGGGCACTTTCCAAAATTCACCGGTTGCTGAATCGGTGCGATACCGGTTTATTAGGGCACTATCGGCAGTCGTTCGTTAAATTTTTGCTTGCAGATTGCAGATTATAGAATTAAAAAGTTTGTGTAATCTTTATTCATCATGAATTCTATATTCTACTACAAGCCAATACACTCATCTCAACTCAAATAATTTACAAAAATCGTATTGAAAACTACCGTTTGTTTACTGTTAAGAATGATGAACATGCATACGCAAGTGCATTACAAACTTCTCTGCACCCACATCACTCCACCATAGCCGCTTTCCAGAGATGAATTTTGAGGTGCTCCAAACCCGTAGCTTCACACTCTGGTGCTCCAAACAACTGTTGTGTTACTGGAACGCACCCCATTTCAAACTTCGTGTTGACCCATAAAATTGTAGGTGTTTGAGAGGGCAGGGGAGAGGAAAAACGAACAGTTCAGTTGCGCGAAACTCTAATGCACTGGAACGCCTATAAACAGTCCGAGGCAGTGGCGGATACAGGGGTGGGGGGGGGCAGGGGGAACAACTGCCCCCCTTTTTAAAATAAAATAATAAAATTAAAAAAAAAGGAAACAAAACCATATTTTAACTTTTAAAAATGTTCAAAAAGCTGGAAACCTATAAAAAATCACACTTTTGTCCCAAGAACTTTAACCTCAAACAGTTAGCACTATTGTCACTACCTAATAGTAGCGCTTGAGTTGATGTATTGTTTTTTTTTGTTCTAATAAATAAATATTCATAGAAAATCAATAATAGTAGGTCTGTTTCTGCAGAAATCACAAACCAGTCAGACTGAATTCCATTGGTTGAAACTAGTTTCCTGACTGTTTTCAAGCAATGAAATTCGCTCTGACGACTGGTTTGTGATTTCTGCAGAAACAGATCTATCATGTACCATCGTCACCAAAAATAACTGGGACAGCATCACATTAGCTCTTGTCCTATTATATGAATTTTATTGTCAAATATTTGTCAAACTATGCATTAAATGCATTGAAATGAATGACAGTAGAATTAGTCCAGGAGATTATTATGCATTATTTGTGTCCCAGATACTTTTGGTGACGATGGTACCATCGTACCAAAAGTAATTGGGAGAGCATCATATTAGCTCCTGCACTATTATATGATATTAGATGTCAGGTATTTGTCAAACTGTGAATAATTTTAGGTTTATCTAGGTTAACTTGGAATAGTCCAGGAGTCCAGGAGATTAACATCAATTATTTTTGTCCCAGTTACTTTTGGTGACGATGGTACCTACCTATTTAAAATCATCTTATTCTTCTAGTTCCCCCATTCCTATATGTTTGAGGGCCATTCCTTGGAAAACCCGTATCTTGCACAATGCGCCGCCAAAACTAACCCAAACTAACCCAGTCTGGCTTAATTTGGTTTACTTTAAAGGGGGTGTGCGCCAAAAATTAAAGTTTTAGTGTAAAAAAAATCTAAGAATAACTGTTCAAACCTCGTTATTCTACGACAAACCATCGCTAAGATATACCGCTTTAAACTGTGTGTGACGTCAGGAGAGCTTCGTCCAGCCGCGCTCCGCATTGTTAATTTGATTGTTCCCGGCACGCGTGGGTGGTTTTTGTTTAGATTATTGCAGGTGACACAGGCAAAACATATGTAAATTCAATTTACTTCACTTTCTCGTACGTCACTTGAGTTTTCGTGACGTCATATGGTGAGATGCGGCACCTTCATAGAGCCATATCTTCGGTATTATTTGTCATAGAGGGGTGCGGTTTTCACTGTTATTCTTAGATTTTTTTCTCTTTTTTTTTAGATGGAGTTGTTTTTTTGGCGCACACCCCCTTTAACTTAACCTGCCATCCCCCTTTCGAAAGGCCTGTATCCGCCCCTGGTCCGAGGCGCTCTAGACCAGCTCAGGAGTGCGTAAAGTGCTGCCAGTCATCTTGGAGAGCGACTCATGCATTCCAAACCACAAACAACACAACCAAACCTTAATACACCAAAGCGTTCCAAAATGCATCAGAAAAATCTTGTAGCCGGACCACCTAACTTTTACCGAAATTTTTTGACCGCTGCCGGTCTATTTAACCGGTCAATTTATCGGTGAAATTTGGAAAGTATGCTCTATGTCATTGGTTGGAAACGTTGGCAACAGTCAGAAAACTAGTTTCAACCATACTGTAATAAGTGTGATTCCGAATTCCGAACCAGTTTGGAACTAAAGCCTCTAGTACTCAAAAAATGCAGTTTTTTTAAAAAATTAGCCATTTTCTCGTGTCTACTTTTTTCACATTGGATCAAAACAGGGGTGCGATTTTCGAAACCATTCGAGTACATTTCGTACACGAAATTTGACTGACAGCAATGTAAAGTCTGTTTTTTTTTTTAAAGATAATTCCCCAAGTAGGGATGTCAATAACCGGTAGTTAAAACCGAAAAACCGGTGTTTTCTCTTCGGTTAACCGGTTAATACCAGTTGTTTTTTGCCTCCAGTTATAACCGAATAACCGGATTTTATACCTAATAACCGGTGAAAGTGAAAAAATAAACACGTAGACTTTTCTCTTGTTTCCATAACTTTAAAATATATTGAATAAGCGACAACAGTCTTTTTAACCGATAGTGCCTGTGCCCATCTCTAGTATTTCAGTTTCGGTTAATCCGTTCTGCAGCTGGTTGACTTCCATCTTTCTCTAATGAACGGTATTGAAAAAAGACATGTACATGTAGGTATAAAAAAAATACATAGTTGCGGCCATTGGAACTGGCACTAATTTTTGAACGCCAAATATAAGATAAGGCTAAAACTGACACAATTTTGGCATTAACGGCCTGTTAAAAAAAGTCAAGTTTTGATGCAATACAAGGTGCGTTCGAAAATTTGTGCCAATTCCAATGGCCGCAACTGTACATATTAAAAATGAAAGAAGAGAAATAACCAGTTTAGAAAAGTTTAAGTATTCTCTGATGCTTTTTAACATGTAACAGTTTCCGATTTTTTTTACCATTAAGATATGTTGTTGTTTAAGTGATGTTACCTACATTATAATATAAATTATGCAATTATTCTAATATTATTCGGCAAAATAACCGAGCAACCAGTTAACCGGTGTTTTATATCAGTTATAACCGGGCAGTTATAACTGTTAGTAAATTAACCGGTTAATGAAAAAACCGGTGTTTTAAAAAAAAATGACATCCCTATCCCCAAGTCAAAAATTTAGTAACTATGTTGGCAACAAGCCTTTTCTACATAAAAAATTTGAAAGCATTGACAATTTTACATTGTATTGCCAACATAATGTCAGTTTGACTTTTATCTTTAAAAAAAAACAGATTTTAAATTAAATGGGGAGCAGTCAAATTTCGTGTACGAAATGTACTCGAATGGTTTCGAAAATTGCACCCCAGGTTTGAAACGGGCAATGGTGTTTCCAACCGGTTTTGAACCAATGTCAACAAAGTGGATTTGAGATAACGGCTTAGGGCGGGTATTATAAAACTACTTTGAGAGTTAACTTAAAGTTAACTTCTGGAATTACATGTAATTCAAAAAGTTAACTTCAAGTTAACTGTCAAAGCAGTTTTATAATACCCGGCCTTAGGTCTGTTTGTTAACCTCTACTACTACACAATGGGCAATTTTTGGCGAGGATAATCAAGTATAATCCAATTAATCTGATTATGCTGGGGTTATATGTGATGTGTCAATTGCGTCATACTCCCATAACTATAGTGAAATTATTAACGTGATCAATGACGTCGAAATTATTGCCAATTGCAGTTTGTAAGAAATTAAAATTCGTTTCAAGCTGAGAGCTCATTCTCCTTTTTAAGTTAAAAAAAGACAGAACACTGTTGGCATTTAACCGAATCGGCCGATAAAATTTCATTTAGATTGGCACTCATGGGTTATGTTGCCAAATATTGCTGCAAATCTGCGGTTACTGATTTTAATAATTTGAAATTATTTCTAATTTGTGTATCTATAAAATGCCAAAGTCACTGA